CGGGCTCCCTGTTGGTCACCACCCCCAGCTCCTTCAAGGTCAATCCAGTCACTTCAAGGATGCCATCCATCCACCTTGTCCTTGGTTGGCCCCTCTTCCTTTTTCCTTCCCTTTCCTCCAGCATCATTGTCTTCTCTAAGCTTTCCTTTCTTCTCAAGATGTGGCCAAAGGACTTCCTCTTGGCCTCTAATAGCCTTCTCCGCAATGAGTAGCAGGACAATATTTCCTGGAATATGGACTGGTTGGATCTTCTCGCAGTCCAACACACTCTCAGGATGTTCCTCCAACACCACAGCTCAAAAGCATCTCTCTTCCTTCGCTCAGCCTTCCTTTTATGGTCCAGCTCTCACATCCGTAGGTGACTACAGGGAAGACCATGGCTTTGACTAGGCAATGGATCTTGGTTGCCAGTCTGATGACTATTTTATCAAGATTGGTCCTTGCTCTCCTCCCAAGAAGTAAGCGTCTTCTGATTTCCTGGCCACAGTCTGCGTCTGCACTCATCTTGGCACCTAGAAATACAAACCCTGTCACGGCCTCCACGATTTCTCCCTCTATTTTCCAGTTGTCAATCATTCTTGTTGCCATAATCTTGGTTTTTTGATGTTTAGCTGCAACCCGGCTTTTGCGCTTTCTTCTTTCACCTTGATAAGGCTCCTCAGCTCCTCCTCGCTTTCAGCCATCAGAGTGGTGTCATCTGCATATCTGAGGTTGTTAATGTTTCTTCCAGCCATTTCCACCCCAGCTTTGCATTCCTCAAGCCCTGCACATCCTTGCATGATGTGTTCTGAATAGGTTGGGTGAGAGGATGCAGCTTTGCCGGACGCCTTTCCCAATCTTGAACCCGTCTCCTGTTCCGTGGTCAGTTCTGACTGTGGCTACTTGGTCCTTGTACAGATTCCTCAGGAGAGAGGGAAGGGGGCTTGGGATGCCCATCCCACCCAGAACTTGCCACCATTTATGATGATCCACACAGTCAAAGGCTTTAGAATAGTCAATGAAGCAGAAATAGATGTTTTTCTGGAACTCCCTGCCTTTCTCCATTATCCAGCGGATATTGGCAATCTGGTCTCTCGTTCCTCTGCCTTTTCTAAACCCAGCTTGTCCATCTGGCCACTCTCTCTCCATGTCTTGCCTGAGCCTTCCTTGCAGACCTTGAGCATCCAAATGGATTGCAGGCTACACAGTTACCTGTGATGAATTGCAGGTTCGGCCATCCAGTTTTGCCTCGTGTTCCTTGATGGGGTCATGCAGCCGGAAAGGGTTGAGTGAGATACGACTGGCCAAGTGCCCCAGAGTTACCTGCTGTCCTTCTCTGGGGCGGGACTCTTCAGGTGGCAAATATAGCGAGGCTACAACCAGCATCAATATTGTTCTTTTCTTGCACCAAAGCCACCAGATCTAATTCATTACAGGAAGCCCCTCCCCCCTTTTCTCCCAGGTGATCTTTCAGGTGCACCTGGACCTTCCTTTTGAGGGTGGTGGGAGAGCAAGGTGGTCTCCCAGTGTGTGTGCGTGCATGTATGTCAAAAAAAAAGGTTGGGAACCACTGCCATAGAGGGTGTCCTGTGCATCAGGGAGGGGGGTGTATGTGTTTTTGGGGTGGGGGTTTGAGTGACAGGACAGTTTCTGAGAAGAGAATACTAGTAGGAGGTCCAGGATTCCTGGGTGGATGATTGGGGGGGGGGTCCTCCTCCCTTGCTATGCCCCCCTTTTCAATTCCCCCCTCCCCCCTCCCCCCTCTAAAGACTTTGGCTAAATGAGCAGAACCCATCAACGCTTAGGTCTACCTTTTCCTCACCTTTGACCCCTATGACCTTCCAAGGGTCATGGGGGCACTTGGTCAGCCTTTGGAGCTGGGGCAGAGTAGAGGGGGGCTGGAAGAGACCGGCCACAAGGCTGCAAGGCCAGGAGGGGGCAGCCTGCGAGGATCCAGCCTTCAGGGTTGCTACTTGTTTGGATTCATTTACTCCGCAGTCAATTTCTGACCCAGGCCCCCTAATCAGGTATTGTTAACCCACCCACCTCCCCATTTCTCATGTAGGGCATCTTATCTTTCGGTTAACTAATTCTACATAAGACCTCCCCCCCCTTGGAAAAACGCCCCTTCCTCCTGAAGTCCACCCACTGCTTCACTGTGTGGCGTCTTCCCCCATTTGTTTTTCCCTCCAGCTTAAATTGGTGGTGGGGGTTGTGCCAGATGAGGCTTCCTGCCCCCTTGGCTGCTTCTTCCCAGAGGAAACCCCTTCCTCCTCTCCCGCCCCTCCCAGAAGCTCAGGCATCCCAAGAGATCATGTTTCCATGCATGCCGTGGCACTGAAGGCCCTCCAAGAAACCGAGGAGAGCTCAAGGCAACGCCTGAGGCAGCAAGGGAAGCCATAGCCCCCTGGATCTGGATCTGGCTCTCCATGGGGCTGTGGGGGCCGAGAGGGCCAGTGACTCAGGACCCCTCTTTGGGCGTCTCACTGATGGAGGCTGTGGGGGAAAGCGAAGCCTCCCTTCCTTGGCCATAGAGCAGTGGTTCCCAACCTGTGGTCTGTGGATCACCTGTGGTCCGTGGACAACCAGTGGACCGCCAGAACTAAAATATGAAGCCGTGAACCATATTTTAGTTCTGGCGGACCACTGGTTGTCCATGGACCACAGGTGATCCACAGACCACAGGTTGGGAACCACTGCTCTAGGGAACCACTGCTCTACACCATTGCAACTGGAGCGACTGGTCTCGCAAAACCCTCTTATAGCGCCAAGGCTTATTAAATATGGTTTTCTGTGGGCAAGCAGATAACATCTACCAGATTGCATACATTCTGTATCAGAAACTGGAGCTGATGGGGTCTCCAATGCAGTTTTCTGAATCGGCACCCCAAAGAAGCAAACCGAATCTAAAGTTGACCAAAAACTGATTCGTAACCCTTTTGGTACTAATGGTAGAGAGTGAGTGGTCCCTGGTCAAAAAAGGTTTGGGAACCACTGCCCTAGAGGGTGTCCTGTGCATCAGGGAGGGGGTGGGGGTGGGGGTGGGCCTCCAAGTCAGAGCCAGAATGGGCAGTGGAAGAGAGCCCACTGAAAGCCGGACTTCTCTGAGGTGAAGCTCTTGTGGGCTCTGCACCCCCGAACTGCTTAGGGACGGGCAGGTCTGCTCCCTTTCCCCACAGAAGGGCCCTCCTGTAGAAAACCCTCCAGCAACCTTTGGGGCCCCACACACCTTCCCAGTGCTGCCAGCCCCATCTCCACCTGGCAAGGGCCTCCTGAGGACCCTTAGCAATCGGGGCTGTGAGGGGGCATGCTTCCCAAACCTGAGACAACCCTGTCTGTCGGCAGTGAGGTTCCCCCTGCCCCTTGACCTCTGCCCCCCTGTGTATTTCAATTATATGTATTTTGTAGAAGTCCATTTTGATATGTGTGTTCTATAGAATATTCATGATAACAATAACAACAACAATAATAGTAAGGGCTACTCTGTCAGAAATATTAAAAATTAACTAGGTATTTTTAATTACGAAAATGTGAGTCAAGCAATGAAAAGGTTAAATGGATGCAATGACTCAGCAAAAGCTGCAGTTCTACATAAGCAGGTGTGCCTGTAGCTTAGTAGGCCTCAGTGTTAGCGGGCCTCTCTGTCTGAAAAGGCCTCAGCATGTGACTTCAGCATGTGAGTAAGGCTCAGTGTTAGTTGGCCTCAGTATGAGAGAGGCCTCTGTCTGAGAGAGGCCTCAGTGTTAGAGTGGCCTCAGTGAGAGAGAGGCCTCTGTCTGAGAGAGGCCTCAGTGTGAGAAGGCCTCAGTGTGTAAGCCTCAGTGTTAGTAGGCCTCTATCTGAGAAGGCCTCAGCATGTGACCTCAGCATGTGAGTAAGCCTCAGTGTTAGTTGGCCTCAGTATGAGAGAGGCCTCTGTCTGAGAGAGGCCTCAGTGTGAGTAGGCCTCAGTATGTGAGTAAGCCTCAATGTTAGCAGGCCTCTCTGTCTGAAAAGGCCTCAGCATGTGACTTCAGCATGTGAGTAAGGCTCAGTGTTAGTTGGCCTCAGTATAAGAGAGGCCTCTGTCTGAGAGAGGCCTCAGTGTTAGAGTGGCCTCAGTGAGAGAAAGGCCTCAATCTGAGAGAGGCCTCTGTCTGAGAGAGGCCTCAGTGTGAGAAGCCCTCAGTGTGTAAGCCTCAGTGTTAGTAGGCCTCAGTATGAGAAAGGCCTCTGTCTGAGAGAGGCCTCAGTGTGAGGCCTCAGTGTGTGAGTAAGCCTCAGTGTTAGTAGGCCTCTGTCTGAGAAGGCCTCAGCATGTGACCTCAGCATGTGAGTAAGCCTCAGTGTTAGTTGGCCTCAGTATGAGAGAGGCCTCTGTCTGAGAGAGGCCTCAGTGTGAGAAGGCCTCAGTGTGTGAGTAAGCCTCAGTGTTAGTAGGCCTCTGTCTGAGAAGGCCTCAGTGTGAGAAAACCCCATGCTAAAGGCCTTGTATTTGAAGCTCCAGAGTGAATGCTGTTATGTGTAAAGCTACTGTGTGAAGCTCCTGTGTAAGTTCAGTGTGAGAAGAGCCTCTGTGAGAAAAAAGCCCAATATGGAAGCAAAGAAGGAAGTATAAATACCTTTATTTCTTGTAAATAGTGCAACCATATTATTTTTGTACACATAAATGACTCCTGTGGGAGAGATAACATGGGTCTGTGTGTTTTTGTTCTTTTTCTCACTTTGGGCTACTGGTGCTGGGTCACGCTGCTGCTGCTCATAAGTTACTCTGCTGTACATTTATGGGGAAGGTATTTTGTTCATAAGCCCACTTGCCCAACGTACTCACCCCACCCACCCACAATTATCCTGCTGGTGCCCTTGTCCCCCTGCAATGGCAGAACAGCCTGCGGGGGCCCCTCCCACCCCCTTTGCTGGTGCTTCTGCTGCAGATGAGGAGTGGTCCCTTTGAAGCAGCGCCCCCCTCCAGAGCCAGGGGCCCCTCCCTCCCTGCTTCTATTCCTTCCTTAACTGGTGCCTTCCTTTCTCTCCCATTGCAGCGCCCTGGGATGCCCTCAGGCGCCCGCATGCCCCACCAGGGGGCTCCCATGGGCCCTCCCGGGCCCCCCTACGTGGGGAGCCCCTCCGTGCGCCCCGGGATGCCCCCGGCCGTGATGGAGCCCACCCGCAAGAGGTCCGCCCCCCAGCAGGGCCAGCAGCAGCAAGGGCAGCAGCAGCCAGGCCAGGCGCAGGGCCAGGCGCCACCGGCACAGACAACCCAGGGGCCGTCAGGGGCAGCCGGAGGGCAGGGCGGCGCCACCCAGAGCCGGCCCCGCAGGTGAGTCCATGGCGATGTGGGAGTGAGGGAGGGAGGGAGGGGCAACCTGGGGAGAAGCACTGCTCTTAAGGGGCTGGAGGTGCACCTGGGAGCCCCCCAGAGCAGGGTTCACCTTCGCGGGCAGAGATGCTTGCCTGGCATTGCTCTTGGGTCATGGCTTTGGCTTTGGCTGGTCATTCTGGTGGAGCTCAGTGACCCATGGGTGAGGGGTCCGAACTGGGGGGGAGCAGCTTGCAGAGTGTGTCATGGGAGGCGGGAGCAAGGGCTTTGAGGATGCTCCTCCACCCTATTTTCCATGGAGTGGGCATGATGCCTGAGGGGCCAAGGTCCGGCATCCCTCCTTGCAGATGTCCAAGGGGGGCACTCCATTTGGGTGTCCTTCCCCTCCTCCCTCGCCCCCAACCAGCCCTGTGTGTCTCTGTGTGGAGGGCCACAGGGAGTCTGCAGAGCCCCTTCCCCTCTTTAGGTGGTGGGTGGAACCCAGCTGATTCCGTCCATGGAGCCCCAGGCAAGCAATGGATGTGGGTGGCTGGTCCTCTTCAAGGGTGGGCTTTGAGTGTCACTGTCCAGCTTTGGCGGTGGACGGAGATGAGGTTCTTGTGGCGCCCTCCAGTGGGCTGTTGGGGTGTCTCCACCCAGTGGTTTCCAAGGAGAGAAATCCAGGCTCTGCCAGGGAGGGGAGGGGGGACGCAGCGGGTGAGGAGGGGGCTTCCTCTGGGCCTGGGGGAGGCCAAACCAGGCTGGCAGGAGGGACGCCTCCTTCGCCCTGAAACAGCCACTGGGATTGGCTTTCCTTCCTAGCAATCACAGCTGGGGAGGGGGACAGCTGATGCCGGCCTTGACCTGCCCCCTGCCCCCACCCCATGCCCACTGCTCTGCCCCATGACCCTCTTCGGTCAGAATCCCCCCAATTAGGGGGTGGATAGCCAATGGCTGGTGCGCATGGGCTTTTTGGGGCGGGCAGTGGAGACCCCCTCGGCTCAGAGAGGCCGGGATAATTTCGCAGGTGGCCGACCAGTCGCCATGGTAACCTGGTCTCATTTTTTCCCCCTTTTCAAAAATGTACAGTGCCAAGCGGAGGAAAATGGCTGACAAGATCCTGCCTCAGAGGGTGAGTGAGCGAGCGAGTGGGTGAGGGAGAGAGTGAGTGAGGGGCTGCTGCTCCACCTGGGCACCCTTCCTCTCCCTGTCCCCCCTTCCATTGCTGATCAGGGTCTTCAGCTGCTGTGCTGACGCCCCAGGTGTGTGTGTGTGTGTGTGTGTGGGGGGGGTGTTCCTGCCCCTCCCCTTTCAGGCTCTGCCCAGGTGGACTCTTGGCCAGCTGCAGTGGGAGGGAGGGGCTGGACTCCAGGGGCTCCTGGGGAGGGTGGGGAGGGTTCTCCTTCTGGAAAGTGTCCCCTACCTGTGGCCTTTCCTGGCTCTGCCCCCAAAACAGCTGGCAAGCCTCTTCCCCCTAATTTGGCTGTCCATGCAGGTCCCTGGCTTTTAGCTTCTCTCCCAGGGAGGCCTTGCCCAAAGGCAGTGACCGGCCCACTCCCTCCTCCTGGGATTTGGCATCCTCTGGACCCTGCATGTGCCATCCCAAGGAAGCACCGGCATCCCTGCCTCCCCATACCTGGATTGGGCTCTGCCCACCTGCCTTGGGGGTCCTGCCTGCACCTCTTGCTCCTTCTTGGCATGGGATGGGATGACCCCCCCCCCCCCAGCACGATGCCCCTCCTACTGAGTCCCCTGTTTGGTCTCTTGGTTCTTTACTTTGGCAAGTAGCACTTAGGGAGCTTGAGGGCGGTGGGAGGGGAAGACGTGCAAGACAATAGTAAAGTGCTTCTGTCTGCCGCTGAATGCAAACCTTGGCAAAAGAAAAGGTGGTGCAGAACTGGGACCAGAGTGATGGGCGGTGCTTAGTTTACTTAGGCAATCCATCGTTGTCTGAATAAGATTGTCCTCCAAGTTCGGTGTCCTGGCGGTGGGTCTGTAGCTTGTTGGCTCTTTAACTTACTTACTAACTTAGGCGATCCCTTGTTGTCAAATGATGATGGTCCTCCAAGTTCGGTGTCCTGGCAGTGGGTCCGTAGGTGACTGTGGAACCCTAATCTTGATCTGCATGTTCTCCTACAGTGAGGGCATCGGTTTCCAGGTGGAAGACGGTCTCGGTCGGTGTTGGCTTGACACACCTTCCTCTTGGCACATTTCTCTCTTTCGCCCTCCATTCGTGCCTCTTCAAATTCGCACTGCTGGTCACAGCTGACCTCCAGCTGGAGCGCTCAAGGGCCAGGGCTTCCCAGTTCTCAGTGTCTATGCCAGAGTTTTTAAGGTTGGCTTGGAGCCATCTTTCAATCTCTTTTCCTGTCCACCAACATTCCGTTTTCCGTTCTTGAGTTCGGAGTAGAGCAACTGCTTTGGGAGACAGTGATCTTTGGGCATTTGGACAACATGGCTGGTCCAACAGAGCTGATGGCAGAGGACCATCGCTTCAGTGCTGGTGGTCTTTGCTTCTTTCAGCACGCTGATGTTTCCCCACTCGTCTTCCCAAGAGATTTGCAGGATTTTTCAGAGGCAACGTTGATGGAGTTGCGTATGATGTCTGAAGACAGTCCACGTTTTGCAGGCATATAGCAGGGTTGGGAGGACAATAGCTTTGTAAACAAGCCCCTTGGTCTCCCTATGGATGTCCCAGTCCTCAAACACTCTCTGCTTCATTCGGAAAAATGCTGCACTCGCAGAGCTCAGGCGGTGTTGAATTTCAGTGTCAATGTTGACTTTTGTGGAGAGTGGCTGCCTATTAGGATGGCATCTTTAAGGTTACCACTTTAAAGATGGCATCCTAATTTATTTATTTTTTTGGTGTCAGGAGCAAACCTGAGAAACTGCAAGTCATTCCTGTTGTGAGAGAATTGGCCGTCTGCAAGGACGTTGCCCAGGGGACGCCCGGATGATTTGATGTTTTTATCATCCTTGTGGGAGGCTTCTCTCATGTCCCCGCATGAGGAGCTGGAGCTGATAGAGGGAGCTCATCCGCCTCTCCGCCAGATTCGAACCTGCGACCTGTCGGTCTTCAGTCCTGTCGTCACAGGGGTTTAACCCACTGAGCCCCCATTAAGCTGTATTTCTGGCATTGGAGAGGGATTGGCCGGTGACTCCTGGAAGAGCACTTTGATTTTCTCGATGTTCAATGTCAGGCCGAGCTTCTCGTATGCTTCTGCAAAGGTATTTAGAGTGGCTTGTAGGTCTTTTTCTGAATGTGCACAGATGACATTGTCATCAGCATATTGGCGTTCTATAACACATGTTGTTGTAACCTTGGTTTTGGCTTTCAGTCTGCTGAGGTTAAACAGCTTGCCGTCTGTCCGGTAGATGATCTGACCGAAGCAGGAGCGAGGGGGACTGATCAAGACACTGTTCTCCTTTGGATGCAGAGCTGGGGGAGGCTGAGCCGGGGGCCTTCTCTTCCTCTGAAGCCTTGCTCCAGCAGCCAGCCCTCCTTCCTTCCCCCCTCTTTCTCCCCCCTCCCCAAGTGACCCTCTCCCCTCCCCTCTGCCCAGATCCGGGAGCTGGTGCCGGAGTCTCAGGCCTACATGGACCTCTTGGCCTTTGAGCGGAAGCTTGACCAGACCATCATGCGGAAGCGGGTGGACATCCAGGAGGCCCTGAAGAGACCCATGAAGGTGGGGAGTGTTCCACCCCTATGGAGGGAGGGGCCTGTCCCCTGGGCAGGCTTTTCCACTGGGCCCCCCAGCCCCCTTCCCGCCCCTCCCTCACCTGGCTCTCTTTCCTGACAGCAAAAGCGGAAGCTGCGCCTCTACATCTCCAACACCTTTAACCCGGCCAAGTCTGACGCAGACGACTCCGACGGGAGCATCGCTTCCTGGGAGCTGCGCGTGGAGGGGAAGCTCCTGGATGACGTAGGCATGCATGCGCCCGCACACGCATGGCATGGAGGCACACGTGGGGCTCACCTTCATCTTGGGCCCCTTTCTGATCTTGCGGTGGGGCTGCCTTGCTCTCCATTTGGGGCTGCAGGAGGATCCACCCCCCTCCCACTGGTCAAGGCAGAAGTAGTCCTGGGTGGGGGCCATGTGGGGAGGGGCTGTGCCCCTTTTGCAGCCCTGGGCAGCCCTCTTCCTCACCAGCAGGCCCCACGGCTTCCCCACAGGTGCCTGGCTCTGTGGCTGGGCATCCTGGGACAGCGAGGGGGCAAATCCAGGGCTGATCCTGCCAGTCACTCACCGGAACAGGGTGCCAGGTGGGCAGGGCAAGGCCAGCGAGAGGAAGCTGACCCGTGCTGACCCATTGCCTCCCTCTTGGCTCCGCAGCTCAGTAAACAGAAGCGGAAGTTTTCCTCCTTCTTCAAGAGCTTGGTCATCGAGTTGGACAAGGACCTCTATGGGCCGGACAACCACCTGGTGGAGGTAAGGGGCCACCTGGGGCCCAGGAGGAGGAAGGAAGGCGGCCCACCGCTGTGCTTTGGCCTCCCCCACAATTTCTGGACTTGGCCTGGGCGCTGTGTGGAGCAGCTGGAATCACGGGCAGGAAGGAGAAGCCCGGGAGATGCAGGAGAACCCAGGGAGAACAGGGCAGGAGCAGGGCAGGGGTCACTAGGCGCTGCCCAAGAGGATTTCCCCCCACCCCTCACAAGGCTTCCTGTTGGGTGGGCTTGTGCCCAAGAGATGTTGTGATTTCAGGCTGAGCTGCTGGGGAATCTGAGCTGTTAAGCTCCAAAATAACCCTCAGTTGGGGTGATTCCACCATACATAGAGCAGAATACTAGAAGTCAACTTCATAACCATCAGAACCTCACACGTGATGAGCTGGGATAGGCTTCTTAGGATGACACAGGATTGCAGTCAGAACTTTAAGTTCAAAAGTATTGAAGTAAAAGAAATATATTCTTGATTGAAAAGGTCTTGGAGCTCACCAGCTTACTAAATCCCATCTTCTAAAGGTATAAAGATCCATGCAGCTACATTTTGCCTAGAGAAAGGCAAAATGTGTCCTCAGTGGAAGGAAGAAAAGGTAGAAGAGACTGGAGAAATGGCGAATGGCCACAAGCCCAGGGCAAGAAAACTTAAAGAGGATGTTCCCTCACAGAATTCCATTGCTGCATCTTCAAAGGGGGGGGGGGGTGGAGGGAGTGGCAAGCAGGAAGAGAGAAGACCCAGCTCCTTTTTGGGAAAATGGGGGGGGGGGGAATCCTTCAGCCTGGCCCCGTCTCTATTCTATCTACTCATTGAGGTCTGTAAACTTGATCACATGAGAAATTTGTGCAGTCCAGGGATTAAACCCCACATCCCCAAAGGCAGGGGTGCCCCGTGTTATGAATAACTCCCCCCCCCCCAGGAAAAGAATGTCCCATTTCTGTCCCTGAGCGGCCTGTCTTGTCTTCTCCCCGGCAGTGGCACCGGACGCCCACCACCCAGGAGACGGACGGCTTCCAAGTGAAGAGGCCCGGCGACGTCAGCGTGCGCTGCACCCTCCTCCTCATGCTGGATTACCAGGTGGGACTCTGTGGGTCTGCAGGTATAAGAAGGGGAGGGGGGAGGAATGAAGGTGTGGTGCCTCAGTCTTGCTCCTTGGTGATGAGGTCAAGGGCCTTGAGCTGCCATCAGACTCTTGGGTTAGGAACGCTGGGAAGGGGATTAGGTTTTGTCTCAAGAGCAAGAGGAAAGTGCACAGACGTGTAAGGATGTGTGTGTGCATGCAGGGCTGTAGCTGTGGGGCTGGGGCAAAACGAGTGCATTGCCCTCCCAGCAAGAGTCCTTCCTTCCCTCTCCCCCGTAATATTTTCCTTCTGTCCCCAAATTCCCACCTTGCAAAGGGTGAGGCTCTGAACCCGGTTCCCTCCAAGAATGCTTCCCTTTGTTGAGTTTGCCTTCCCTGAGTTGCTTTGCCTGCGGCCCTTCTGACCTGGAGGCTGAAACCCCAGTAAATCTGGGTACCAAGGTAGACGGTCCCCCCGGATTGAAGGTAGTGCTGTTGAACGCCAGGTCTGTCAATGGTAAAACATCAACCATTCAGGACTTAATCCTTGATGAAAACGCAGATCTGGCGTGCATCACAGAGACCTGGTTGGACGAAGCTGGAGGGGTCAATCTTACCCAGCTTTGCCCACCAGGTTACACTGTGCAGCACCAACCAAGATCTGGGGGGCGGGGAGGCAGAGTTGCAATAGTCTATAAAGATTCCATCTCCTTGATCAGGGGCCCTGCCCTACAGTCGACCCTGTTTGAATGTGTCCACCTGAGGCTAGGAGACCAGGACAGAATAGGGATGCTGTTGGTGTACCGACCACCCCGCTGCACCACAGCCGCCCTACCTGAGCTTGCAGAGTTGGTCTCGGGCCTGGCATTGGAGTCCGAGTGGCTTATAGTGCTGGGGGGCTTCAATGTCCATGCAGAGGCCACTCTTTCAGGGGCGGCTCAGGACTTCATGGCCACCATGGCAACTATGGGGCTGTCCCAGCTAGTATCTGGCCCTACCCACTGTGCTGGACACACACTTGACTTGGTCTTCTGTCAGGGTTGGGAAGAGGGTGGCGGTGTGGAGGAGTTGTCAATCACTCCTTTGCCGTGGACCGACCACCACCTGATCAGGTTTAGACTTTCTGCCACTTCTAACCTCCGCAGGGGTGGTGGACCCATTAAGATGGTCCGCCCCAGGAGGCTTATGGATCCAGAGGGACTCCTGACGGCTCTTGGGGAGTTTTCCGTTGCCTCGGTTGGTGATTCTGTCGATGCTCTGGTCTCTCATTGGAATAATGAGTTGACTAGGGCAATAGACACGATTGCTCCGGAGCGCCCCCTCTTAAGTCACTGAACTAAACCATCTCCTTGGTTTAACAAGGAGTTGGTGGAGATGAAGCGAACAAAGAGGTGGCTAGAGAGTGTGTGGCGGAAAGAACCTAGCGAGTCAAACCGAACACGCCTGCGCCTTTATTTAAGGGCGTATGGCGTGGCAATAGAGGCCACACAAAATTCCTTCTACTCGGCCAATATTGCGTCCTCAAGGAACCGTCTGGCAGAGCTGTTTCGAGTAGTCAGAGGGCTGTTGAATCCCACCTCTCAGGATGGGTCCCCTGATGACTTGGCAGCTCGCTGTGAAGCCTTTGCTCAGTACTTTGCGGACAAAGTCGCTTTGATCCGTTCAGACTTTGACACCACATTAACGGCAGTCTCTGAGGATGTAACACAAGCATCTGCTTGTCCAGTTTTGATGGATTCGTTTCGATCTGTTCAACTCGAGGATGTCATCGGGATTTTTGGGGAGGCGAGGCCGACCACATGCATCCTAGACCCCTGCCCATCCTGGCTGGTCAAGGAAGCCAGAGGGGGTTTGGCAGAGCGGGTAAAGGTGGTGGTTAATGCCTCCCTTCGGGAAGGCAACATTCCAGCCAGTTTAAAACAAGCTGTCATAAAACCGCTGTTGAAAAAACCATCACTGGACCCCACTCAATTTGTCAACTTTTGGCCAGTTTCCAATCTCTCCTATTTGGGCAAAGTCCTGGAATGTGTGGTGGCCTCGCAACTCCAGGCGTTCTTGGTAGACATAGATTATCTAAATCCGGCGCAGTCAGGCTTTTGGCCGGGGCATGGTACCGAAACAGCCTTGGTCGCCTTAGTGGATGATCTTCGCCGGGAATTGGACAGGGGGAGTGTGTCCCTGTTGGTTCTGCTGGACCTCTCATCGGCCCTTGATACCGTCGACCACGGTATCCTTCTGGGACGCCTCGCAGGAATGGGCCTTGGGGGTACTGCTTTGCAGTGGCTCCAGTCCTTTCTCGTGGGGCGATCCCAGAAGGTGTCGCTAGGGGACTCCTGCTCGACCCCACGGCCATTGTACTGTGGAGTCCCGCAGGGTTCAATACTGTCCCCTATGTTATTTAACATTTACATGAAGCATTGGGAGAGATCATCCGGAGTTTCGGGGTGCAGTGTCATCTGTACGCAGATGATGTCCAACTCTGTTACTCCTTCCCACCTACTACTAAGGAGGCTGTTCAAGTCCTGAACCGGTGCTTGGCCGCTGTAACGGACTGGATGAGGGACAACAGATTGAAACTTAATCCAGACAAGACAGAGGTACTCCTGGTCAGTCGAAAGGCCGAACAGGGCATAGGGTTACAGCCTGTGCTGGACGGGGTTACACTCCCCCTGAAGGCGCAGGTTCGCAGCTTGGGAGTGATCCTGGACTCATCGCTGAGCCTGGAGCCCCAGGTTTCAGCGGTGGTCAGGGGAGCTTTTGCACAATTAAAACTTGTGCGCCAGCTGCGCCCGTACCTTGGGAAGTCTGACTTGGCCACGGTGGTCCACGCTTTGGTTACATCCCGTTTAGATTACTGCAACGCTCTCTACGTGGGGTTGCCTCTGAAGACTGCCCGGAAGCTTCAATTAGTCCAACGTGTGGCAGCCAGACTACTAACGGGAGCGGGGTACAGGGAGCATACTACTCCTCTGTTGCGCCAGCTCCACTGGCTGCCAGTCAGCTTCCGAGCACAATTCAAAGTGCTGGTCTTAACCTATAAAGCCCTAAACGACTCCGGCCCAATTTACCTGTCCGAACGTATCCTCCCCTATGAGCCATCAAGATTACTAAGATCGTCTGGAGGGGCCCTGCTCTCGGTCCCACCGGCCTCGCAAGCGCGTCTGGTGGGGACAAGGGCAGGGCCTTCTCGGTGGTGGCCCCTCGACTCTGGAACTCCCTTCCACTGGAGATCAGAACTGCCCCTTCTATCTTAACGTTCAGGAAACAGGTGAAAACTTGGCTTTGGGGATTGGCATTCGACGAATGAGCCATGATCCTGTGATATGGATGAATGACGACGAATAATGATTTTTGATGACGACTGACCACTGTAATTATATGATTGTATTTTGCTATTTTAATGTTTTAGTGTGATTTAGAATATGATGTTTTAATGACTGTCTGTAATATTGATGTTGGAAACCGGCCTGAGTCCCTCGAACGGAGGTGAGAAGACCGGGATACAAAACTGCTAAATAAATAAATAAAGTAAATAATAATTTTGCAAAGGCAGCTGGAATGTTGTGTTGCTCTCCGACTGGGATTCTGGGGATTGAAGGAAAGCCGAATTCTGCATCCCCTGCAACTGCGCTCCTTTTTGTGCATGAAGCATTTCCGGATGTTTGTGGGGGCCAAGGGGGGGGATACTTGGGGGCTCAGTGCAAGGGGCCATGGGGGAATCCTCTGCTCAGTTCTGCTGGGGTCAAAAGCTGTTCTGCTTTGCACTATCTTGACGGAGGCTCTTCTGATGGCTATTGGCTGTGCTCCACAAATGGGGAGGGGGGCTGAGAGGCCGGCGGTGGGGCTCTGGCATTCTGGTTCCTGTCCCAGAGCAGGCTCTGGCTGGCTGTGGCCATCAGGGTGCCATATCTTGAGCTGCCCGAGGGCGAGCGGTCCCTTCTCTTTTGGGACAAATAGAAATGGGTTGTTGTAGGTTCTTTCGGGCTACATGGCCATGTTCTTGAGCAGTGGTTCTCAACCTGGGGTCCCCAGATGTTTTTGGTCTTCAACTCCCAGAGATCCCAGCCAGTTTACCAGCTGTGAGGATTTCTGGGAGTTGAAGGCCAAAAACATCTGGGGACCCCAGGTTGAGAACCACTGGTCTAGAGGCATTCTCTCCTGATGTTTCGCCTGCATCTGTGGCCAGCATCCTCAGAGGTAGTGAGAAATGGTTGGGCTCCCTGAGCCCTGCATGTAATGTTGGAGTCTCCCTCCTTGCTGCAGGGAAGACCTGGCCCTGCTTTGCTCCCTGGTTCAGACAAGCGCTGGGAAGAGTGTGTATGTGTCTGTGTGTGTGTGTGTTGGGGAAGGGTAGCATCAGAGAAAGTGGCCGTGCAGCCGCCCTGAGAGAACCAAGCTGGGCCCAGACCTGATGCCCTTGCCCCCCACACCTTCCTTCCTCTGCTGCAGCCCCCGCAGTTCAAACTGGACCCCCGCCTGGCCCGCTTGCTGGGCATCCACACGCAGACGCGCTCCGCCATCATCCAGGCACTCTGGCAGTACATCAAGACCAACAAGCTGCAGGACTCTCACGACAAGGAGTACATCAACTGCGACAAGTATTTCCAGCAGGTGAACTTTCCCCCCTGCCCCCACCCCCACCCCAACCACCTCCCTTGACTGGCAGGCCACCTGGCCACTGGCCACATGGGGCGCTTCGAAGCCACAGGCACAGTTGCCGGGACTTGGCTCTGGCTGGGCAGGCAGGGCACATGCAGCAACCAATCCAATCCTCTTTCACGCCGCTACCCGCTTGCAGCCACCCACCTGACCTGAGCAGTGATGGCTGTGCCCCCCATTTCCAAAAGAAGAGGATGAGGAGGGGTCTCACAGTGTCTCTGAATGGATCCCAGAGCTGAGGGGGGGGGCTGCTGGGAGCCAGAAGGGGTCTCCCCAAGGCAGATCAAGGGGCTTCCCAGCTTTGGCCACCTCCTGACCGCCACCCTCTCAGTTTCTTCCCTCTCATTTCAGATCTTTGACTGTCCCCGGCTGAAGTTCTCTGAAATCCCCCAGCGGCTGACGAACCTGCTGCTGCCTCCGGACCCCATTGTCATCAACCACATCATCAGGTCAGGCGTCTGACTAGGGACCCCCTCCCGCCCTCTCTCCCTCCCAGTGGTTGCCTCCATGGGCCGCTAAAGGGTGTCCTCCAACTTGGGAAAGCTTCATTCCGGCCTCTGCCCCCCCTCCCCCCCTTTGCGCAGTGTGGACCCCAACGACCAGAAGAAGACGGCTTGCTACGACATTGACGTGGAAGTGGAGGACCCCCTGAAGGGCCAGATGAGCAGCTTCCTCCTCTCCACGGCCAACCAGCAGGAGATCACGGCCCTGGACAACAAGGTGCCCCTCAAGCGGGGGGTGAGCAGGAGGCTCACTGGGCACCTTGGGGTGAATGAGGGTGGGTGGGCTGCCTCCTTGGGCAAGCGGCCTCTTCCCCACAGCGTGGGGCCTGGAAGCCTCCTAAGAGCCAGCACCAGATTTGGGGGGGAAGAGAGGGCAGATACATGGCGGTGGGAGAGAGCTGTTGGCCTCCCATCCTGCTTTGGCCTCTCTGACCCTCCCTCATGGAAAGCAAAGGGCTGCCAGATCCCACAGGTGCACTTGGCCCAAATCTCCTCAGCAAAGGATCCACACCCACTCTCCTGAGCTAGAGCCCCTCCCAATAAGTTAAGCCCACCGCTCCAACTCCATACACCAACCACAGTCCTTACCTTGCAAGCCACCTTGCCCTCCTCACTAGCCTGCTCCTTTCTCAGAGGGGCTCCTTTCCAAGTAAGTCCTCTCCAACCACTGGAGATGTGATGCTCCTCCTAAGGTACCTGGGACCTGTGGCCTTCCCCATTCCACGTTTGCGGAGACAGGCCCAATTGGGGCCAGTGGGAAGAACCTGTGTGGACGGAGTTAGTGAGTGGGAGCCTTTCCAGTGCAATTGTGAGGGATCAGACCTTGGGTGGGGTGCAATGGGGTGGGACACATCCAGGGCCCGGTGAGTCTAGGGCAAGTCTTCCCCTACCGGGCTTCTGGTAAGCGCCCTCCAGGTCACCAGCACTCCTCCCGTTGCAGATTCACGAGACAATCGAGTCCATAAACCAGCTGAAGATCCAGCGAGACTTCATGCTGAGCTTCTCCAAAGACCCCAAGGGCTACATCCAGGAGCTTCTCCGGTCTCAGAGCAGGGACCTCAAGGTAGGCCAGGGCTCCTCCAATGGGATCTCACCTGCCGATCTTGCCAAGCAGATGGCGGGGGGGGGGGGCGGGAAGAGGCTGGTACTGAGGGTCTGGACCCCCCCCCCCAATCCATCGACAGAACCATGACTGCATGTGGGCCGTGCCGAATTGTAGTGCTGAGTTGTGAGCCCCTGTGGGTCATGGCCTCACTTGGAGAATGTCCACTACGGGAAGACATCCAGAAGAGCGAGAAGCCCTTTCCTCCTTCCTGTTGCCCACCCTGCTCTTGCACCCTTGGCAGGGGGAGGGAGAGGAGAGGAGGGCACCGGCCTTGTGGCGGTGGCCCTGATCCGCTCCTCCTCCTCTTGCCTTCTCCAAGGTCATGACGGACGTGGTCGGGAACCCTGAGGAGGAGCGCCGGGCGGCCTTTTACCAGGAGCCGTGGTCCCAGGAGGCCGTCAGCCGGTACTTCTATTGCAAGGTAAGGAAGGGGCTTTGGGGAAGGGGGGGCAATGTGAGGCATGACACCCTGAGCGCACGCTTGCAGCCTTGTGGGGGGGGGGGAGTTCCCAATGTGACGCTGCCCTCCTTTTCCTCTTTCAGATCCAGCAGCGTCGGCAAGAGTTGGAGCAGTCTCTGGGGGTGCGCAACACATAAGCCCCCCTCTCCGCTCACATCCTGGTCATGGTGGCCTTGGGCTCCCAGCTGCCCAGCGGCCGGTGGACTTCTCTCTCACGCCCCATAGCGGCCCCCACAGGCCTGCTCCACCAGCTTCTGAGCCTGCGCCTCCTCTTGAGGAGACTTCTGCCATGACTTTGCTCTGCTTCCTCCGGTTGGATGGTTGGCAGCCGCTGTGGGCTGTGGTCCCCGTGGACTCTCTCCAGGAGGAGAACGGACCCAACGGCCACCTTGGTTTTTGTCCCATTGCCCTCTGCTTTGGGCTTCCTGGCTGCAGAGGGATTGATTGCTGGGCCCCAAGGACTGGGGGGGGGGGCAATGACAGTACTACCCCACCCGTGTGCAGGGTGCCCCCCCCCCTTTGCAGGCTGCCTAATGCCAGACCTTTGGAAAGCCAAACCCTTTGCCCTGCCCCCCAGCTCTGGAAGAGGGGCTCCTGACCCCATTGCTTCCCGGACTGATCATCCTCCCCAAGTGGAGGGAGGGGCGGAGGAGGCCGCTCTGCACACACACGCACATACACACACACACACCCTGGGGCCTCATTGGTGGTTTCTGCAGGATGACCAAAGCCCACCCACCCCATCCTGGAGAGGCCCCCAAAGTCTGGCCCGCCCTTCCCCCCGCTCTTGCTCTGTCCAAGGTGGGGCTGTAAATGTTCCAAAAATTCTTGTTTTGGGGGAAAATTGGGAAATGTAGTCTTGGCACCGTTTGCAGATTGGAAGTCACTTTGTTACTTTAGGATCATCAAATGCATTGTATGTATCTTGGTTTGGCATAAAAAGATCATGTTTGGTAGAAAATGAAGACTCTTCAAGAACCATTTCCAGTGGGACCGGGCCCTTGGGGCTCCTGCGTGCCCGGGGACACAGGCGCTGGGGGTGCTGGCCTGATGTGCTGGGGGGGGCAGAGGGGGATGAGGGGACAGGGCAACGGCCAGGCCCTCACAACCAAGACCAGGCTGAAGGTCTTCCCATGACATATTCGTTTGGCAGCCCTTTTGCAGGGAGGGCTCTGCCCGTTGGATGAGGACCTCTATGGACTGACCACCATCTGAGGCACAGAAGGGATTTGTGGGCGCAGGAGGGGTAGTCGTAGCAGAGGCAAGGCGGCCTGGCTCAGTGGGTCAGAGGGTGCCTCCTGAAAATGGGGAGCAAGGGGAAGCACAAAAGAGCCGTGGGGGGGGGGGTTGCAGGGTCAGACCCAGGGAGAGGGGCCAGCCCTTCAAGAGCAACCAGGAGGTGTTTCCCCTGCACCCACCTTCTGTTTTGCCCCACGTAGAGTGTTTCCTAGAGGACTTTTTCAATAAAATGCTCAGTTTCTTTGTCCCTGCCTCTCCATGGGGGGGTGTGTGTGACAGCTGCTCTCTTGATGCCTCCTTGGAGAAGCGGGATCTGGGGGCCATGTGGGGGTGTCATGCCCCCCGCCATTTTTCCCATCAAAGGACCCACACAGGGGACAAGCCATATCAATGCGTGGAATGTGGAAAGCGCTTCAGTCAAAGAGGACATCTGCGTTCTCATCAAAGGACCCTTCTCTCAAAGCGCAACCTCGGCAGGGACCCTGGGAGTGAGGCCTCAGGGGCAACGGCTCCAGAAAGGCAAGGACCAAGGAATCGCAGCTGAGGGGCCACCTCCCCTCCCTCCCTCCCTCCCTCCTTCCCCCCTCCCTCCCTCTCAGACAAATGACCATGAGGTGCGGCTCCACTGGCTCTTGCCTTAGCTTTATTGCGTTCCTCGCACCCTGTGGCCACTCTTTCGCATGTGAAGCACCTGGGGCTCTTGCTGCCTGCAGTCACGCCAATGCCGCTTCCCAAGTCCTTTCACTGGAGGAGCCCTAGCCCGGGCAACCTTGCACTTCTCCACCACTAGCTCAAGACACCCAGGCAGAGTGCCAGGCTCAGGAGCCACAGGGCAGAGGGGAGTGGGCCTGTGAAGCCTGGGGGCAGAGAGAAATAAGGGCTCAGACCCGCCTTCTTTTGCGAGGGCAGTGCAAATTCCAGATGGGTACCCTCCCCCCTTCCGACAGGACCCTCCCCTTCCACTTCCCCCCTCACCGGCAGCAGAGGTGCAGCGGGGGGCGCTTCCAGTCCACATGCCATCCTGCTGGCAGAGCCGTGTGGGGGTGCCCTCCAGGTGGAAGCCCGGCTCGCAGCGGAAGTGGACGGTGGCCCCGGCCAGGTAGTTGGTCCCGTTCTTGGCCCCATGCTCAGGGGCAGACAACCAGCCACAGGAGACCACTGGGGGGAGGGAGAGATATAGTTATGTGGACACCAGCCTCCAGACCACGCACCCCCCTCAGGCATCCCTACCTGGCTGGAGGCTGTCCTGGAGGCGCCGGAAAGTGAAGTGGGCTTGTTGGGTGGTGTTGCCGGCGGCCAGGTCCCGGGCGGCGAGGGCATCGAAGCGGCAGAAGGGGTCGGAGTGGCAGAGTGCGGCCACCGCCTGGGCAAAGGGGTCAGCGGGGTCCTCCGGAGGGGGGACATATGGCACAAACGAGGCGTGGTGCTTTGGACCCCACAGGAAGGCCTCACGCAGCCCCACAGAGTCGTAGGTGAAGAGTGCGCTCTCGTTGCGGACTGACCCTGGGGAGGAGAGGGAGGAGAGAGGGTGTGAGGTGGGGGGGGGGGGTTGGAGGGGATACCCCCCTTGGCTCGCCCCCTCCCTCCCTTGAAGTCTCTCCTGCCCCTGTCAGACTGTAGGATCCCATTCTTGGCCCCATGCTCCGGGATGGACAACCAGCCACAGGAGACCACTGAGGGTAGGTTATTTATACAGCAATATTAAATAACCACTCACAAGCCATCTTGCTTTGAAATGGATATATTGCTTGTATCTCTGCAGCAAAGAAAGACACTACTGACTTTTCCCTTTTATACACCTTTCCTGCCCATCTCCCCCTCTTCTCAGTTTCCTTATCAGAACTTGTTGCTTCACATGTTCCAATGCAAGGCTTCCATTGCCCTCTGCTGGCTTCAAAATGTCACAGAGAGAGAATTGATTCAGCCAGGATGATTCAGTCAGGATGTCATGGAGGGAATTTGTGATATCTTCATGCCATCAGAAATAGACTCCTGACAGCCCCTGCCTTTGAAGACTTGGAGGAGGCATGGGCAAACTTCGGCCCTCCAGGTGTTTTGGACTTCAACTCCCACAATTCCTGGCCTCAGGCCCTTTCCTTTTCCCCCTCAGCCTTAAGCGGCTGAGGGGGAAAAGGAAAGGGCCTGAGGCCAGGAATTGTGGGAGTTGAAGTCCAAAACACCTGGAAGGAAGGCCAAACTTTGCCCATGCCTGGATTAGAGGGTCCCAGCCGAGGGAGTGTCCCAGCCTCATCTCCGGAGCCGTTCGGGGCAGGTCCAGGTCTCGCCCTTTCCCTGTCCCGCTCCCCAAGGCCACTCACAGTGGGCTCCGAAGGCCAGGATCTGCTCTGGGGAGGCTGCGGGGTCCAAGACGGTCCCATTACGGAAGGCCAGGTCATCGCGAGGGTCCCCGTTCAAGGTCCCAAAGAGGCCCTGTGTGCGCCCCACAAAGGCCTCCGGCATTAGGACGGTCACGCTCAGTGCCCGGCCACCCCGAACCTCAACTCCGGCCCCCGAGGAGAACATGGCCGTCACCCCCACGCCACGTTCGTCCCCAGGGGAGACTGAGAGGAAGAGCCCTGCGGAGACACAACGGGAAGGAAGGAAGGAAAGGATTCAACATGGCTCGACATAAGGAAAGGGTCCTTATGATGGGACATATCTACTGAGAGGGTCCAAATGCTTGGGAAGAAGCCCACCACTTGCACGCCCATCATTGATGCACCCCTCCTGAGTGCAATTTTCCAGGAAATGCTCTTTTCTGGGTTGCGGTGAGTTTTTCAGGCCGTCTGGCCATGTTCCAGAAGCGCTCTCTCCTGGCCTTTCACCCCCATCTATGGCAGGCATCCTCAGAGGTTGTGAGGTGTGTTGGAAACGAGGCAAGTGGAGTGTAGATAGTCCAGGGTGGGAGAAAGAACTCTTGTTTGCTGGAGGCAAGTGTGAATGTTGCTGGACCACTCTCACAACCATCATGTCAGTCTACACAGAGAAGCCACTGATGTTCGCGAGAAGCAAAGATACAGAATGGGGGACAATGCCTGGCTCGAGAGCAGTACGTGTGAAAAAGATTCCTCATGTTGTCCTCATGGACAAGTTAAACATGAGCCAACAATGTGATGTGGCGGCAAAAAAAGCCAATGGAATTTTGGCCTGCATCAATCGGAGCATAGTGTCTAGATCTAGGGAAGTCATGCTCCCCATGCTCTATTCTGCCTTGGTTAGACCACACCTGGAATATTGTGTCCAATTCTGGGCACCACAATTGAAGAGAGATATTGACAAGCTGGGATGTGTCCAGAGGAGGGCGACTAAAATGATCAAGGGTCTGGAGAACAAGCCCTATGAGGAGCGGCTTAAGGAGCTGGGCATGTTTAGCCTGAAGAAGAGAAGGCTGAGAGGAGATATGATAGCCATGTATAAATATGTGAGAGGAAGTCACAGGGAGGAGGGAGCAAGCTTGTTTTCTGCTTCCTGGAGACTAGGATGCAATGGAACAATGGCTTCAAACTACAAGAAAGGAGATTCCATCTGAACATGAGGAAGAACTTCCTGACTGTGAGAGCCGTTCAGCAGTGGAACTCTCTGCCCCGGAGTGTGGTGGAGGCTCCTTCTTTGGAAGCTTTTAAACAGAGGCTGGATGGCCATCTGTCAGGGGTGATTTGAATGCAATATTCCTGATTCTTGGCAGAATGGGGTTGGACTGGATGGCCCATGAGGTCTCTTCCAACTCTTTGATTCTATGATTCTAAGCACACAACAACACCAACACCAACACTTTATTTATATTCCACCCTTCTGAAGGGGACTCGGGGCGGATCACAAGCACACATACACAGCAAACATTCAATGCCGTTTGTATAGACCCATGGTGGCGAACCTATGACACGTGTGTCAGCACTGACACGCGTAGCCATTTTTGATGACACACAGCCACATGCGGCCGCATACAGAGAAGATGGGGCCGCATCCCAAGAAGGATATTTCCTCCTCGGCTCCTACACCAGCATTTTTCTATAATGCCGAGATATATGACATTATAGAAAAAGCAGGTAAGTTAAATAATTAGTTTTTGGTTTATTAAATACAGTTATATATGACAATAATAGATTTTTGTTATTAAACTATAAATATCTTGAAATTACCATTTTTTTTCTCGAAGTGACACCCCACTCGAGTTATGCTCATTTTTTTGGAAGTACTGTCACACCAAGCTCAAAAGGTTGCCCATCATTGGTATAGACAGTACACAGACAGACAGAACAGAATGAGGTTTTTGTGTCGTGCCATGAACAATTTGGCTCGAGTCCACAGGGGCTGCTGTCGCTCCCTCCTCTATGACGAAGAGCCAACGGGACTTCCTCATTCCAGCATTTTCTGATCTTCTTTTTCTTTATGGTGTTGTAAAACACCTTCCCTGCTTTTAGCAGTACCTAATTTCTCTAATTACAGCTAAAGCTGTTTTCAAACTGCTTAGGTAAACAGTGAGCAGGGCTGATGGTCAGCCGCTCATGCCAACCCGGGGCTTCGAACTTGCAACCTTTCGGTTGATAGAACTTATAGTTGCTGATGATTTACCAGCTGTGTTAAACCTCCAGACAATTTCAACAGAAAGGAGGGAACCATGAAAATGAACAAGATCTGGCGACCAGTATTTAAAAAGTCTAAAATTAGGACAGTAAATAAAGAACAACACTCTGAAAACAGAAGAATTTCAGACAGGAAACAATCGAGGCCAGCTAACACCTCCCAACAAAGGATTCCCCCCAGCAGGAAGCAGTCAGGCTTTGGAGCTGTAAGGCTATTCAGTGCTAATCAAGCTGGTCAATGGTAGGATTCACACTTGCCTCAAGCAGACGGCAGTTCTTTCTCCTACCCTGGACACCATTCCACAAGGAGAGAATCCTAGAATCCTAGAGTTGGATGAGCCCTCATGGGCCATCCAGTCCACCCCATTCTGCCAAGAAGCAGGAAAATCACAATCAAAGCACCCCTGACAGATGGCCATCCCACCTCTGTTTAAAAGCTTCCAATGAAGGAGCCTCCACCACACTCCGGGGCAGGGAGTTCCACTGCTGAACGTCTCTCACAGTCAGGAAGTTCCTCAGGTTCAAGTGGAAACTCCCCTTGCTTAGTTTCCAATATACCTCTCAACCTCTGAGGATGCCTGCCACAGATGTGGGTGAAATGTCAGGAGAGAATGCTTCTGGAACGTTGGCCAGGCAGCCCAGAAAACTCACAGCAACCCAGTGATTCTGGGCATCAAAGCCTCTAACAACACACTGCCGTTTTCCTTTGTTCTCCCAGAATGAGCTTCTCCTTGCTAGARGAACCACCCGGTCGAGTGTGGGATCTCATGGTTCCTCCTGAGAGGCCCTCTCTCTGCCAACAGAAGTCGGGGGGGGGGGGGCTGCTCCTGGGGCCTCAGTTTTGGCAGAAGAGGGATGTCCAAGGAGCGGGGGAGGGGAATGGGGGGACTCCAGCTGTTCTTTGGGGGGCAACCCCTAATTCTGGCGTTGCTGGCTCTGCTGTGGCCTGGAGCTGCCTTGTGGTAGGTGTGTGCCCCCCCACCCCCCCGWATCTCATTTCGAAGCTGTTTGCTCCCTCTCCCCCAATATCTAAGGCAAGCCTGGCCCATGGAGAGGTGGATTGCCCCAGTGGAGGTGCTGCTGTCCCCTCCCTAGCAAGAGACCCCTGAAAGCTCTCACCGTTCAGGTCCATCCAAGTCTGTTCCGAGAGGTTGAGTGTCTTCTGGTTCAAGAGGACCTCCAGCTCTTCTGAAGCCTCCGGGAGACGGACCTCGACCACATCGGAGGCGTTCTCCCGCATGGCGATGGCGCAGAGCCCTGTCACATTGGGCGCAGCTCCTGCGCGGAAGGCCAGGCGTCAGGGCAGAGTGAGCGCCTCGGGACAGGTTGCGTAGCCAGGCAGGCCTCACAAGACCTTCCAGCCAGGAGACCCTGGGCTCTGACTATCGACCTTACCAGCCGGGCAAGGGGACAGTGGAGGGAACTCTCGGGCTCTGCTCCCAACCATCAGTTTCCTCATCTTTTCCTGCTTCCTCTCCTCCTCCTCTTCCCTTCTTCAATGAGGAGTCGGGAAAACACCCCACTCCCCTGGCCTCTGCTTCCTCCCTGCCACAGTGGAGCCCCACAGAATCCCGCCAGAAGTAGCCCAACCTCGTGTGATGGGCTCCATGGGACTCCCTTTCAACAGCGAGGAGAAGACGCTTCTCTCTGTGCACCTGATGAGGTCCTCAGAGGCCATCAACAATGCATACAGCACGACTGGAAAAACACTCAACACCAACTGGCCATGTTGCTTCGATGCCCGACCACCGTCTCCCAAACAGTTGCTCTACTCCGAACTCAAGAACGGAAAATGGAATGTTGGTGGGCAGGAAAAGAGATTGAAAGATGGGCTCAAGACCAACCTTAAAAAATCTGGCATAGACACCAAGAGAGAACTGGGAAGCCCTGGCCCTTGAGCGCTCCAGCTGGAGGTCAGCCGTGACCAGCAGTGCTGCAGAATTTGAAGAGGTGCGAATGGAGGGCGAAAGAGAGAAATGTGCCAAGAGGAAGGTGCGTCAAGCCAACCCTGACCAGGACCACCTACCACCTGGAAACCAATGCCCTCACTGTGGGAGAAGATGCACAGCAAGAATAGGGCTCCACAGCCACCTACAAACCCACCCCCAGGATACTACACTTGGAGGACCATCATCCTCGGGCTATGAGGGATCGCCTAAGTAGGTAAGTAAGTAAGTCAGTTAAAGAGCCAACAAGCTTGGGCAGATACCTCTGAAAACTCCACCTGGATGTTCGACCACCAGGTTTTTGAAGACATGTGAGAAGAAGGGGGTGGCCATTGGCAGCAAGAGGACCAGAAGCAAGAGGCCCCACAGTTACCTATTTAGTGTGAATGCTTGCTGTGTGTGTGTGTGTTGGGATTCCCACAGTCCTGCATGTCTTCCCTCCATTGCTCTCTTCCAGCTGCAAAGTGGTTTGCATCCCTGTGTCACCTCCATATTGGGGGTCACTGAGCAAAAGAAGATTCCTTTGGGTGTTTAAAGAGGGGACCACGCTCCTTTGTTTCCAGGCAGCCAGTGTGAGCGGCCTTGTGTCTTGGTCGGCAGTCCACCTTTTATCCTACCTGCCGTCCACCTGCCCACTCGGAGGTGTATTTCCCCAGGAGCCGTACACCTTGTTTTCTTGAAGGGAGCTCAAATCTCAGCAGGTCTGATACCTGGCCCAATGCCCAGAGGGATCCAAAGAATGGCATCACTTAAAGCAGTGGTTCCCAACCTGTAAGCTGCAAGTTGGTGGGCCACAAGACCTAAAATAAGGTTCTAGATTATTAAATATGCTTTTCTGTGGGTGAGCAGATGTTCTGTATCAGAAACTAGGGCTGATGTGGTCTATCCAATGCCATTTTCTGAATCAGCACCCCAAATAACCAAAAACTGATTCAGAACCCTTTTGGTACTAATGTTGGGGAGTGAGTGGTTCCTGGTCCAAAAAGGTGGGACCTTTGTGTTATGGTTTTTATTGTTATATTGCTCTTATATGGTCTGTATTATATGTACAGTTTTAACTATATCTATGTTGTTGGGGGCATTGACTGCTGACTGTAAACCACCTCGGGGTTGAGAGAGGCGGTATATAAGTATGCCTCAAAGCTTGGAGAATTTCCCAGGCTCCAAGAATCAAGAGACGGAGCCAGAAAACAAGCCAGGAGCAGGAAGAAGGGTCTGGTGGGCCATGAAGGGCTCCAAAGAGGCCGTCCCCAAAGCCAAGCCAAAGGGCTACTAGAGCACCACGTGGGCTGGGAAACACATGAAGTGCAGCCCAGAGGAACCACACGTGTTTGTTTGTTTATTTATTGAAGCATTTCTATATTGGGCCCTTCTCACCCGGAAGGGGACTCAGGGCAGAGCGCAACATCAATACGGCAAACATTCAATGCTGGGGAAAAAACAAACTACAAATATCCACAAACAAACACTAAACTCAGTGGTATCCCCTTGGAAATCCCAGTGGCTTTCCCTGCCAGGTGGCGCTAGAGGCCACATGACGGAGCAGAGCTTTCCTAACCACGTGTGTCCCAAAACTTTGGTGTGTCAGGTGCAGAGAGGAGGCGTGGGCCCAAGTGAAATAAACAACAAGTCACATGTTTGTCAAAATAGAAATGAAAAGTGTTCATCTCCTTATTATAATGTATGTGTCTGCGTGGCTGGTTTAACTTCTGGTTTGCTGGTAGTGTCAGAAAATGAGGCAGATCCCAAAAGTTTTCCCAACCTGAAATGTTGGGAACTGCCCCCCCTCCCCCCCTTGCCTTAGAAAACGGTATTGGCTTCCTGGGATTGCCACAGGTTGAAGCACTTGTCGGTGTTTCCTTCTTTTTGTCATTGGAGTATACATGTCCACACATCCCCCCCCCCCGGGAAAGCTCAATTCCACAACCCCCGTTTTAATGAGCCCCCCTCCTCAAATAACCCACTTCTCCTTTTATCTCACCCGTGTTTTTAATCAGTTTTTAATCAGCCTTTTAAAGTCATTTTCTCGCACACGTAGCTGCCCACTGTCACTGTGACTGTGTTTATTGTAATCTTATATTGTTAATGTATTCGTATGTTTTATGTAATTTTGATGTTGTGGTTTGTTGCGTGTGTTTTTTGGTTTTATTTTGCTGTAATTTGCTGACTGGGATTAGCCTCATGTAAGCCGCCCTGAGTCCCCGTTGGGGAGATGATGGCGGGGTATAAATAAAGATTATTATTATTATTATTATTGGGTTGTTGTAGGTTTTTCGGGCTATATGGGCCATGTTCTAGAGGCATTTTCTCCTGACGTTTCACCTGCATCTACCCAGTGATTCCGGCCATGAAACCTTTGACAATTACAGACTAATGTATTGTCGAAGGCTTTCATGGCTGGAATCACTAGGTTCTGTAGGTTTTTCGGGCTATAGGGCCATGTTCTAGAGGCATTCTCTCCTGACGTTTCGCCTGCATCTACCCAGTGATTCCGGCCATGAAAACCTTTGACAATACATTATTATTATTATTATTATTGTTGTTGTTGTTGTTGTTATTTTGCTAGTGCATGCAGGGCAGGGTTGAGGGGCTGGGCTGCTCTCCTTCCTTTAAAGCTCTCTCCCTATTTTTCTGCTCACTCTGCTGTTTCGAATGACAGGACCAACAACCTTGTGTTTTTCTGGGAACCTTAATAGGTCTATGACCCCACCCCAAAGGTCCCACTGCCTCCCTCTGAGCTCCTCTCCAGAAATGACGAATGAATGGCTGCAGCAGCAGCAGAAGCAGCCTGGGCAGGGGGCAATTCCAGCCCAAGTGCCCCACCGAGGATCTGGGCCACTGCCAAGCACATTTTCTGCAGAAACCAATTAGCCCCCGCAACATCCCCAAATGCATAACAGCACTTAGACATTGCACAGAAACCCTAATCGTTTCAATGACTGAAAATGGCTGCAATAGTTTGTGTCATTTCATTGGTAATGAAATAAGTGACTATTCTGGCACGTGTACGGAGTGCGTTTTGGGCGGCATTGCCTGGCCTCTGCTCACCTTCTCAGCTGTAGAATAATAGAATCCTGGAGTTGGAAAAGACCTGGTGGGCCATCATCCAGTCCCACCCCATTCTGCCAAGCAGGAATATTGCATTCAAATCACCCCTGACAGATGGCCATCCAGCCTCTGTTTAAAAGACTCCAAAGAAGGAGCCTCCACCACACTCTGGGGCAGAGAGTTCCACTGCTGAACGGCTCTCACAGTCAGGAAGTTCTTCCTCATGTTCAGATGGAATCTCTTCTTTGTAGTTTGAAGCCATTGTTCCGTGTCCTAGTCTCCAGGGAAGCAGAAAACAAGCTTTCTCCCTCCTCCCTGTGGCTTCCTCTCACATATTTATACATGGCCCTCATCATGTCTCCTCTCAGCCTTCTCTTCTTCAGGCTAAACATGCCCAGCTCTTTAAGCCACTCCTCATAGGGCTTGTTCTCCAGACCCTTGATCATTTGAGTCGCCCTCTTCCTCTGGACACATTCCAGCTTGTAAAGGCAAGTCTTTTATCAAGGGACCAATAAAGAAGCCTGAGAGGAGGGGGCCTGCAGGGCGGTTTCCCCGGGAGGCAGGGGCAGGTCCCCAGCACCTTCTGCATGGCTTCCTTTCCGGCAAGCAGCAGAAGAGCGGCAGAGGTTTCCCTCTGCCAGGAAAGGGAGCGCTGCCTGATTTGCATGCTCCCTTTGCATAGGTGTGAATAGGTGGTTCCCAGTCAAAGGCTTCAGGTCTCCTGTCCTCCCCCTCCTCACCAGGAAATGGATGGGAGCCATCCAAAGTGGAGGTGGGGGGAGCAAGAAGCGTCCTGAGACACTCGGTGCCTCCTTGGCCACACCTTGCAGCTCTGAGGCGGTGAAGAACGGTTCAACTTCAGCCGCGAAGAAGACTTGTTGAGAGGACGCAAGCCTTTGCTCTGACCCAGACCACAAAGTAGCTCAAGGGAGTAAACACAGGAAGAGACCTGCAGCAGGTACCTAGATCCAGGGAGGTCCTGCTCCCCAGGCTCGATTCTGCCCTGGTTAGGCCACACCTGGAATCACACTGTGTCCCATTCTGGGCACCACAACTGAAGGGAGATGTTGAGAACCTGGAATGGGTCCAGAGGAAGAGGGTGACTCAAATGATCCAGGGTCTGGAGAACAAGCCCTATGAGGAGCAGCTTAAAGAGCTGGGCATGTTTAGCCAGCAGAAGAGAAGGCTGAGAGGAGATATGATGAGGGACATGTATAAATATGTGAGGAGAAGTAATAGGAAAGAGGGAGCAAGCTTGTTTTCGGCTGCCCTGGAGTCTAGGATGCAATGGAACCATTCCACCTGAACATGAGGAATAACTTCCTGTGAGAGCTGTTCAGCAGTGGAACTCTCTGCCCTGAAGTGTGATGGAAGCTCCAACCCCCTTTTGCCATGCAGGAAAAGCACAATCAAAGCACCCTTGAAAGATAGCCATCCAACCTCTGTTTAAAAGCCTCCAAGGAACGAGCTTCCACCAGCCTCCAAGGCAGAGAGTTCCACTGCTGAACAGCTCTTCTCCTTACAGACAGGAAGGTCTTCCTAATAAGATTCAGGCGGAATCTCCTTCCCTGCCATTTGAACCCAAGGCTCCATTGCGTCCTACTTTCCAGGGCAGCAGAAGATAAGTCCTTCTCCCTCATCCTTGTGACATCGTTCACGCATTTATCCATGGCTCCTCTCACATTGCCTCTCAACCTTCTCTTCTGCAAGGTAAGCATGGCCCAGCTCTTGAAGACGCTCTTCAGCGGGCGTGCCTGCGCCCATCTGATCTTCCCTGCTCTGGGGTCCACATGTGGTCCTTCAGAAGAAGCCACCATGTTGTTGTGCATCTGCTTTCTCAGGAATGACAGCTGGGGACGGGATGAGGGAACTGAAGCTCTTTGACCATCAAGGGCTCCCTAAGTGTCTCCAGAAAGGACTTAGATCAGCTCAAAGTCCTCATTCTTGATGAGAGATTGAGGCCTCCCAATCTTGAGGCAACAATAAGCCAAAGGCTGCGTTTATTGGCACTGAAAGAAGGGGAAGACATGGCTGTAGGGAAGGAAGGAAGAGCTTGCTATTTAAGGAAGCCCTTGGCTGGCCACCTTGGAGACATCTCTGAAGGAAAGACTGATATAAGTTTCCGCGGGGTGGGGTGGGGATTCAATGAATGCCTGACTGAAATCAAGTTGGTGTCTTGGGATGGGGGTGGGTGGAGGTTAGCTTCCCAGACCCTCCCCCTGGATTCCATCCACCGGCTGCTTGTGGCCGCAGAGCCCTCTGAGCTGGAGATGTCCCACCCCACTGTCACAAAGGTTAGCATGACTCCATGCCTGCCTGTGGTTTCCTAGCTTGCAAAGAGGGGTGTGGTGGGGTTGATGGGAAGGAGGGGTGACGCCATTGCATTGCATTGCGCTTCAGGAGAAGTGGAGCACCCCTCCCCCGCCTTTCCCGCGCTCACCTTCTGTCCCATTGGGGCTCCTTGCTGGGCGGGTCCTCCCTTGGACGGTCAGCAGGGTCAGGTCAGATTCCAAGAGCGTGTACTCCCCGAGGCCTTTGAAGGTGAAGTTCATGCCGTCAAAAGTGATGAAGTGAGGGTCCCCAAAGGCTGAAGCTGTGGAGGAAACACGGGGAAAGGGTGGGAGCCATGAACTTCCCAGAGAAGACAGCCGGGCCCCGACCATGAGGAGAAGGCGTGGCTGCCCCCCACCCTTGCCCTGGGTCACACACTATACAAGGCAGCAGAAGGAAGGAATGGCCGGGGAGAGAGGTGTTCTTCTTGTCTTTAAGGTAAAGGGTAAATTTTCTCCCCTGACCTCAAGCCTAGCCATCTCTAACTCTGGGACTCTGGTGCTCATCTCCATTTCTAAGCCATTCTCCATAGACACCTCCAAGGTCATGTGGCCAGCATGACTGCAAGGAGCGCCCTTACCTTCCCACCGGAGCGGTACCTATTGATCTACTCACATTGGCATGTTTTTGACCTGCAAGGTTGGCAGAAGCTGGGGCTGACAGTGGGAGCTCACCCCGCTCCCCGAACTCGAACCTGCCATCTTTTGGTCAACAAGTTCAGCAGCTCAGCAGTTTAACCCACTGCGCCACCGGGGGCTCCGCTAACTTGTCTTTAGTGGACGGAGTCAGCCAGGGGATGTCCAGGCTTTTCCTTTGGCCCTCCTTGACCACAAGCCCATGCCCTCCTTGCTTCTCTCAATGAGCCTCCTACTTCACATCTGTGGTGGAAGGAGGGAGAGCCAGCCTCAAAGATGCCCTTTCTGGCAGGTTCCAGCTCAGTCTCCAGCAACGATGTGAGGCTAAAGGGCTGGGCCACCCAGGCCGCTCCTCTTCAGGCGGACACTTTCCCTTGGCCCTTCCTTTGGAGAAAAAGCCACAAGGGAGGGTGAGCCACGCTTCTCTCTGGGGTGGTTAAGCCCCGAAGGTGTGGTGGGCGTGAAGCAGGGAGAGCCACTTTCTCATCCCAATTGGGTCACCTAGGAGGCAACTTCCTGGAGGCAAGCGGGAAGACACTTTCTATGGGACTGAACTTGCAAACGTCACCCTCGAAACTCAGTCCCAGCAATTTCCAGGTGTGGTTGAGACTGATGTGAACATCCAAAGCCAGGATTTGGAGGACTCCAAGCAAAGCTTCCATGTAAATCACTTATCTATTATTATTATTATTATTATTATTATTATTATTATTATTATTATTGTGGTGTTGTTGTATTCGTATCCTGCTTTTCCCTCTCAAGAGGGATTAAATTAAAACATAGCTTGTGATGGAAATGGGGCCGTGAAGTGGGTTTGCTTTAGTGGGTCACAAGCAGCCCCTCTCCCACCCCCACCCCCCGTGATGCCCCTGCTGTGAATGGCCTTAGGTGTTTCTATGCTAATGTATAAGAGCATGTGGGGGGAAAAAACAAGATGAACCTGAACTCTTAACACAATGAAGCAAGAAAAATTTAATAGGCATCCCTGAAACTGGAGGTAAAGACTCACAACCACAATCTTGCGCTCCAATGTCTGAAACCATTCCCACACTGCCATGGACACGAGCTGTGTGACCCTCCTGACCTCTCCCACTGAAACACCTGAAGGGGGGGGGGGGCTACCTGCCCTGGGGGGGTGGTACTTCTGGCATCCACTGGAGGGGCGGTGCTGGAAGTAGACCGGGCAGTTCTGAGACCACAGGCAACAATAGTAGAAGCTGAGGACGTCGTAGATCCAGTGCGAGAAGCCAGGGACGCGTGGGGGCTTTTGGTAGGGAGGTGACCCCCAGTCGTGGCCCCGATCCGGCGTGCTGCCCCCCATGGAGTCTCCAGTGAGCACTTGGACCCCCGTGGCGTCGTAGCAGCACTGCTGGCCTGCCGCATACCGGGGGCTGGACAGAGACAGAGAAGAGGAAGCAGCTCAGCATTCTCCCAAGATGCCCCCATCCTTCCGTGGGGAAATGAGGCCAGAAGGCTGCCTTACCTGGCCTGGATGCCCCGCACACAATGCACGGCGCCCGGGTGGTAAGTACACACGCTCCCCTTCTCAATGTCGCATCCGTAGTCTGTCTAGAAGGGACGGAGGTTTAGCACAGCTGGTAAATCATCAGCAACTATGAGATCTATCAGCCAAAAGGTTGCAAGTTCAAACCCCGGGTTGGCGTGGGCAGCCAACCATCAGCCCTGCCCACTGTTTACCTAAGCAGTTCGAAAACAGCTTCAGCTGTAATTAGAGAAGTTAGGTACCGCTAAAAAGTGGAGGAGGTGTTTTACAACGCCATAAAAAAAGAGAAGATCAGAAAATGCAGGAATGAGGAAGTCCTGACGGCTCTTCGTCATAGAGGATGGGGCGACAGCACCCTCTGTGGCACGGCACCAAAACCTCTTTCTGTTCTGTCTGTGGACTGTGTACTGTCTATACAAATGGCATTGAATGTTTGCCGTGTATGTGTACTTGTGATCCACCCTGAGTCCCCTTCGGGGTCGGAAGGGCGGAATATAAATAAATAAATCTATTATTATTATTATTATTATTATTATTATTATTATTATTACTAGAAGCAAGCAAAGATGGACCAGCTGAGGTCACTCCGAAGTCCCACCCTCCTCACGGGATGACGTCCTCACTCAAAGCATTTCTACCTGGCTGAACATTCAGCAGAAGATCTGCATTGGGCCCTCAGCCAAACTGTCAACATTTACCTACAAACTTTTATAATCCACAGGAACTCTTGTGCCCGGGGGGGGGGGGGGACGGGGGGACGGGGGGAGGGACGGACACGACCTTGCTGACTTCAGTGGGACCAACTTCCAGGGAGGTGTGTCCAGAATTGGTGCCCAACTGCTCCCCAGTGTGACCTGAGTGTGGAGCAGGCAGGTGAGCCTTCCCACAGACGAGTGTGGGGTGAGGACTTTGATGCTCAAATAGCCACTGCAAAGCCCTTGGCTGCCTTGGCTGGAGACACTGCGCCTCCTGCTCATCCCAAGCAACAACCTGGAACAATCTCCAAAGGCAGACCCCTGTGAAGTCATGACAGTCTCCCATCCTGGTGGCTTTTTATTTCGTATCAGGAGCAACTTGAAAAACTGTGAGTTGCTTCTGATGTGAGAAAATTGGCCGTCTGCAAGGACATTGCCCAGGGGACCAAAACTAACAAAATGAAGTTCAACAGTGACAAATGCAAGATACTCCACTTAGGCAGGAAAAAACAAAATTCAAAGAGACAGAATGGGGGACGATGAGGCCTGGCTCGAGAGCAGTACGTGTGAAAAAGATCTTGGAGTCCTCGTGAACAAGTTAAACATGAACAATGTGATGTGGCGGCAAAAAAAGCCAATGGGATTTTGGCCTGCATCAAGAGGAGCATCGTGTCTAGATCTAAGGAAGTCATGCTCCCCATGCTCTATTCCGCTTTGGTTAGACCACACCTGGAATATTGTGTCCAATTCTGGGCACCACAATTCAAGAGTGTGTCCAGAGGAGGGCGACTAAAATGATCAAGGGTCTGGAGAACAAGCCCTATGAGGAGCGGCTTAAGGAGCTGGGCATGTTTAGCCTGAAGAAGAGAAGGCGGAGAGGAGATATGATAGCCATGTATAAATATGTGAGAGGAAGCCACAGGGAGGAGGGAGCAAGCTTGTTGTCTGCTTCCCTGGAGACTAGGACGCAATGGAACAATGGCTTCAAACTACAAGAGAGGAGATTCCATCTGAACCTGAGGAAGAACTTCCTGACTGTGAGAGCCGTTCAGCAGTGGAACTCTCTGCCCCGGAGTGTGGTGGAGGCTCCTTCTTTGGAAGCTTTTAAACAGAGGCTGGATGGCCATCTGTCAGGGGTGCTTTGAATGCAATATTCCTGCTTCTTGGCAGAATGGGATTGGACTGGATGGCCCATGAGGTCTCTTCCAACTCTTGGATTCTATGATTCTATGACATTGCCGTGATGTTTTGATGTTTTATCATTCTTGTGGGAGCAAGGCATCTCTCATGTCCCCGCATGAGGAGCTGGAGCTGACAGCAGGCGCTCAAACAGCTTTCCCTGGATTGGAACGTTGGACCTGTCAGTCTTCAGTCCTGCTGGCGCAAGGCTTTAACCCATTGCACCACCGGGGAGTCCATCCTGGGGGCTGGCAGAGCACGAGGCCCTGGGGTCAGGTCACACTGCCTCAACTACAACCAAACTGGGGCTCAAAGGGGTGGTCCACGCCCACGTGAGGCCCCCTTCAGCCGTTGCCCTTTGAGCGGTTGTGTTCTTGGGACTGGCATCTGGCGCAACTCGGTCCAAAGGCTTGTGCCAAGAGAGAACCAGCCTTGCCTGTTCTGCCTTTGGCGGTGCTCCAGAGCCTGGCATACCCATCTGCAGGGACTGGGGAGTGGGGGGGGGGGGCAGGAAAACACCTCACCTTGTGCCAGAGTGCCACTCAGAAGGGAGCGGGCAGGTGGGGCGGATGGTCCACCCAGTGTCAGGCAGCCACATGGCTCCTCCCATTGATGTTCTTCTGCCCTCATCAGTGGCCTCCACGCCTTCCGAGCCAGCCAGCCTGAGAAGGGCCCCTCCCACCCTGGCCCTATTCCCACAAACACAGGCTCACCTCTGGCTGGCTGAGCAGTCATCTCCCTCTCATGAGACAGGTGTGATGTGCTGGGAAGGGTCAAAAGGGGCCAAAGCCCTTCAGGACACCAGGAACGAGAGCCATCCCTGAGCAAGAGACCCACCCAAGGCCCTCCTCCAGCTCAGGTGGGCTCAGGAGGGGTCTCAGCCCAGTCTTGGCTGAGCCAGGTGGCCATGCCCACCCCCTCTTCTACAGGTGCCCATGGCAAGAAGAGGAGCCCCTCTGCTCTGCCCACCCCTCACACCCAAGCAGAGGCACCCCACCTATGTGGAAGTGCCCCGGGTCAGGTGGATTCAGGAGGGGTCTCGGCCCAGTCTTGGCTGAGCCAGGTGGCCGTGCCCACCCCCTCTTCTACAGGTGCCCATGGCAAGAAGAGGAGCCCCTCTGCTCTGCCCACCGCTCACACCCAAGCAGAGGCACCCCACCTATGTGGAAGTGCCCCGGGTCAGGTGGATTCAGGAGGGGTCTCAGCCCATTCTGGGCTGAGCCAGGTGGCCATGCCCACCCCCCTCTTCTACAGGTGCCCATGGCAAGAAGAGGAGCCCCTCTGCTCTGCCCACCGCTCACACCCAAGCAGAGGCCCCCCACCTACGTGGAAGCGCCCGGTGTCGGCCCGGGCCTGAGCCAGAGTGCAGGGGCAGTCCACAATCTCTTCCAGGAAGCTGGGGAGGGCCATCTCCAGGCGGTCCCACTCGTGACACTTGGCCGTGGCCCAGGCGGCCGGATCCTTCCGGAAGCCCCCTCCCAGGTGCCAGGCCATGGCGTGCTCATTGCTCCAGATGGCGGGCACGTTCCTGCGGGAGAGGAGAGGAGAAGGCGGTGGTGAGGGAGGGGGCTTGGGGGCCATTCTTGGGGGAGGCAAGGAGGTCTCTCCACGGCTGGAGCCCCCTTCCAGAAGGTAGGGGGCTCACCAAGCGGGGAAAGGAGGAGGGCCAATGGAAGTGGAGGAGCATGGGCTAGTGTGGGGTGTGTGCATGCCAATGAAGGCGGCCAGGGCTCCCTAGGACAGTGATGGGCAACCTTTTGAGCTTGTGTGTCAAAATTTGCCAAAAACCTGACCATAACTTGGGTGGGGTGTCAACTTTGAGAAAAAATAAACGCAATTTTGCAATATTTATAGTTTAAATAAGAAAAATGTGTATTCCATGCTGAGTTATGGAGTGAACAATGCTCAAATGTGCAGATGTTAAATTTGTAGAGCCTTTTACAAATTTAAGGATGGAATTAGATTGGCTCTTATAAGGTGTACTTCTCTGTATGCGGCCGCATGTGGCTGTGTGTCATCAAAAATAGCCATGTGTGTCAGTGCTGACACGCGTGTCATAGGTTCACCATCACGGTCCTAGGAGATGCTGTGGGGCAGAGGCATTGAAGCCACCTCACAGCAGCCGAGGGGAGCACGGGGGGGGGGGGGGGGGGCAGGCACCAGGGGCCCCGACGGTCCACAGCCCCCACCTCCCCTTCTCCCCATGCCCCGTGGATGGGAAGGGCTCTGCTGAGTGGTGCCCACAGTGGCAGCAGGTCCAGGGTGAGATGAGGGCAGGTCCAGGGTCTGCTGACCACTCCCTGGCTGACCTCTGGCCTTCGAGGGAGGTGCTGGAGGAAATGCGCAGGGCGCCCAGCTCCCAGTGGCCGTGTTGCGCAGAGGGTTCGGGCAGGAAGGTGAAGATGCCCGAATTGGTCTGGTTCCTCTGGAGGCTGTAGAGGTACTCCCACTTGGCGGCCCAGTTGGCGGAGTAGGGCTTCCCTGTGTAGGAGGAGAAGAAGAAGGAGAAGGGGAAGGGGAAGGGGAAGGGGAAGGAGAAGGAGAAGGAGAAGGAGAAGGAGAAGGAGAAGAAGCAGAGAAGGAGAAGGAAGAAAGAAGGAGAAGAGAAGAAGGAAGAAGGAGAAGGAGAAGAGACAGAAGAAGGAGAAGGAGAAGGAGAAAGGAAAGAAAAGGAGAAGAAGCAGAAGGAAAAGGAGAAGGAGAGGAGGAGGAGAGAGAAGGAGAAGAGAAGCAGAAGCAGAAGAAGAAGGAGAAGGAGAAGGAGAAGCAGAAGGAAAAGGAGAAGGAGAAGGAGAAGCAGAAGCAGAAGCAGAAGGAGAAGGAGAAGGAGAAGGAGAAGGAGAAGGAGAAGGAGAAGCAGAAGGAAGAGAAGGAGAAGGAGAAGAAGCAGAAGGAGAAGGAGAAGGAGAAGAAGAGAATGAAAAGAAGGATAATGAGAAGGAGAGGAGAAGGAGAAGAGAAGAGAAGAGAAGAGAAGGAGAAGAAGGAAGGAGAAGAAGCAGAAGGAAAAGGAGAAGGAGAAGAGAGGAGAGGAGAAGAGAAGAGAAGAGAAGGAGAAGCAGAAGAGAGAAGGAGAAGGAGAAGGAGAAGGAGAAGGAGAAGAAGCAGAAGGAAAAGGAGAAGGAGGAGAAGAGAAGGAGAAGGAGAAGGAGAGGAGAAGGAGAAGAGAAGGAGAGGAGAAGGAGGAGGAGAAGGAGAAGGAGAACAGAAGGAGAAGAAGCAGAAGGAGAGAAGGAGAAGGAGAGGAAGGAGAAGGAGAAGGAGAAGGAGAAGAGAGAAGGAGAAGGAGAAGGAGAAGGAGAAGGAGGAAGGAGAAGGAGAAGGAGAAGAGAAGGAGAAGGAAGGAGAAGGAGAAGGAGAAGGAAAAGGAGAAGGAAGAAGGAGAAAGAAGGAAAGAAGAGAGAAGAAGAAGAAGAAGAAGAAGAAGTAGTTAGCTGGCTGTGGGCACATGGAGGATGCTGATGGGTTCACTGATGGTTTAGAGCAGGGGTCCTCAAACTAAGGCCCGAGGGCCAGATACAGCCTACCAAGGTCATTTATCCGGCCTTCGCTCAGGGTCAACCTAAGTCTGAAACAACTTGCAAGCACACAACAACAACAGCAACAACAATCCCATCTCATCAGGCAAAAGCAGGCCCACACTTCCCATTAAAATACTAATAAGTTTATATTTGTTAAAATTGTTCTTCATTTTAATTATTGTATTGTTTTAAGTGTTTTTTTGCACTACAAATAAGACATGGGTTGTTGTAGGTTTTTTCGGGCTGCATGGCCATGTTCTAGAGGCATTCTCTCCTGACGTTTCGCCTGCATCTATGGCAAGCATCCTCAGAGGGAGTGAGGTCTGTTGGAACTAGGAAAAAGGGTTTATATAGCTGTGGCATGACCAGGGTGGGACAAAGGACTCTTGTCTGCTGGAGCTAGGTGGGAATGTTTCAACTGACCATCTTGAAATCCACAAGCATGTGGACAATTTCAACAGAAAGGAGGAAACCATGAAAATGAACAAAATGAACAAAATCTGGCTACCAGTATTTAAAAAATTGCAACAGCACAACAACAGAGAAGAAACAAACAAGGACATCTAATCACCTCTCAACAAAAGTTTGCTCCAGGCACTGCCAGGCCATCAAATGTGGTCAGTTGAAACATTCACACCTAGCTCCAGCGGACAAGAGTCCTTTTTCTCCCAGAGAAAAACACCTGGAGCTACGGAGGTCAACAAACGCCTTCATGTACAGATTAGAGCCGAAAATCGGTCAGAGTGTTTACGTGGGAAAGTCAAGGAGAGGATTTGTGGGAAACGAAATTACTTCATGGCTGTCTATTAATTAGCAAGTTGTTTACCTAAGAGTTAGTTCAGGCAACGGAGCTTTCAAGGAAGAAGCTAGGTTTGAGTTCTTGTTTCAAGTCAAGCTTTGGTTCTGGATTCAAATAACCTGGAAGATTTCTGTGTTTTTGTATTCTTGCTCAAGTTTTACTAAGTGTACCTTTGGTTGTGGACTTGTGCCGTATTTGTGACTTTCTGGCTATTCATGGGCTAGATGAGCTTGGATGTGCATGAGACATTTGCATTGCTGCCTGGTTCTCACCTATGGCTCACTCTTTTTGGGATTATACACCTTCTTTCCTTATTCCTGAATCGTTGTGTATTTTTGTGTGTTGTAAAGTTATTTTAAGTTACGTCATCCCTCTCAGAGATTCCATTGCTACACCTTCAAAGGGAGTGGGGAGGAGAAAGTGGCAAGAGAAGAAGAGGGAAGAGACGAGCGTGCTTTGGAATGTGGGGAAGGGATCCCTCACTCTCTCTAATCCTATCTAATCCCTCACTCTAATCCTATCTACTCTAGCTACTCATTGAGGTCTGGAGACTTGTGCAGTCAGGGATGATGTCACAAAAATATCATTGCAGATTTGATAAATGTGGATTTGATATAATGATGTGTGGGAATTAATGGAAGAATGGAAGGATGTTTGGATGGAGTTAATAATTTTGGAGACACCAGTAATATATTCTGGCTTGCAATGACTAACTACCTGCTTGCTGGACTGTAATTAAAAGTTGCTAATAAGAACTAAAAAGTAAGCTCTGATAAGGACTGGGACAGTGATAAGGGAAATGTTTACAAAGTTAAGAAGGAAGCAGGCATGTAGCCGGGGGGGGGGGGGGCCGGGGGGGCTTCAGCCCCCCCCGAAATTCTCATGGTGGTTCGCGAAAAGGCCTTACTGGTACATTATTTAAACTGTTATGTTTATTCATATCATGATCTGATCACCATGCTCAATATATCCCATATGCATGGGGGTATTGGGGTAATGATACAAAAGGTTTGCTAGGATAGACCCTCTTTCACTCAGACTCAGCCCCCCCCCCGAAACTCCCCCCCGACCCCCCCTGAAAAACTTAGCCCCCCCCCCGAAACAAAATCCTGGCTACGGGCCTGGCACGGAACACATGTCACAGGCCTGTAGGATTGTAGGTGGTTTGATTCGGGGGGGGGGGGGGGGGGCTGAGTCTGAGTGAAAGAGGGTCTACCTAGCAAACCTTTTGTATCATTACCCCAATACCCCCAGGCATATGGGATATATGGAGCATGGTGATCAGATCATGATATGAATAAACATAACAGTTGAAATAATGCACCAGTAAGGCCTTCTTCGCGAACCACCATGAGAATTTCGGGGGGGGGGGCTGAAGCCCCTCAAGCCCTTCCCGCACCATGAGAATTGGGGGGGGGGGCTGAACCCCCCCCAGCCCCCCCCCCCCCCGGCTACATGCCTGAACACCAATCAAGAAGAATCAACACCTGGCCAGGAAACTGGGATGGAGCCAGGATGGAAGATGTCTATCATTCATTTACAACTTTGGAACGACATCAGCAGAATGTTTCTATAAAAGACTCAGTCTAATAACGCTCAAAGTGTGGCAGACCTGAGGAGTCTGTTCCACCCGCCATGTTCTGCTCCATGGGAAGGAGAGAGAGAGTGTACCTATGGGGAGTGTCAGATCTGCAGGGGAGCAGTGGGGCTTCTTTCTCAAGAGAAGAGGAAGAAGGAGGGCGCTTTTGGAGTCTTTCATTCATGACAAATTGGTGTCAGAAGTGGGATGTTCTTTTCCAGTGTGGGAAAGTTATGCATAACAATGAAACCCAACAGTGTATACGCTGGGCTCTTGTGTGGTGCTGGGGTCAGAGGGGCTCCCAGGCCTGGGGTGCAACAGCAGCCCCCCCCCCCCAGGCTAAACCCAGAGTTCTGCTGGTCTCCCTCCCTCTCTCCAAGTGGAAACCCAGAGTCCGCTGTGATGGTGGGAGCATGACTTTGGACCCGGTGTCATGGGCCATGCCTGCCCCCCTCCCTCAGGGCATTGCGGGTCCCACCGCCCAGCCAATCAGCAGGGCCCCCAAGCCCCCCGCCCCTTTCCCGCACGGCACTGAGGAGGGAGGGAGGGAGGGAGGGAGGGACGACGGGGCAACCCCCCAGGGCTCTCTGTCTCCGCCCCCCCCCCCGCAGGACCCTCTGCCGCCCATAAGCCACGCCCCTTTGCGTGCCCCACCTGTCTCTGCGTAGCCCCAGACCTCGATGTTGACGCGGGGCGGGGCGGAGGGCCCCCCCAGGTCTTGGGGCCGCCAGGTGAGCGTCAGGTTGCCGGCCTGGGTCCCGGGGGTGCCGTAGTACTGCCAGCGCGTCTCGTTCTCCAGCACGCTCTTCTCCCCGGGGGGGACCTTGTTGTGGTGCTCTGCCGGGTGGGTGGGCGGGGGGAGAGGGAGAGGGAGAGTGAGGGGGAGGGTCGCATCTCCCCCTGCCCCCCGCCCCGCCCCCCAACCCCGCCCGGGTGCCCACCTGCGGTCCAGGCGGAGGTCCAGGGGAAGGAGCGGCCCCCGTCCGGGGAGACCTCCAGCGAGACGCGGCCCAGGCCCAGGAGCAGAGGGGACACGCAACGCACCCCGCCGCCCCCCGACGGCGAGGAGGAGACGAAGCCCTCCGTCACCACCGCGCCCCCGAAGCTGCGCCCGAAAGGGGGAGGGAGAAAGGAGGGGGAGAAGAGAGGGGGTCAGCCCCGCACGCGAGAGCCGCTCCGGCCAAAGGCCCGTCCAGGGGGAGCCGCGACCCCCACCACCGGGACCCCTCCCCTCCTTAAGCCCTCTCCTTCTCTCCTCAAACGGGACTCCCCGCCCCCAGCCCGCCCCCAGCCCCGTCCCCGAGAGGTCTCTCCAGCCCAAGGCCAGCAGCGCAGGACCCTCAACGCTGGGACCCCTCCCCTGTCTCGTCTCCCCCTTCCCACCCGAAGCGGGACCCCCGAAGCTGCGCCCAAAAAGGGGGAGGGGAGGGGAGAAAGGAGGGGGTCAAGCCCCGCCCCCGAGAGGTCTCTCCGGACATAGGCTAGCCCAGGCTTCCGGGGAGCAGCCGGGACCCCCGACCCTTGGACCCCTCCCCTCTCGTTAAGCCCCTCTCCCTCTCCCCAAACGGGACTCCCCGCCCCCAGCCCGCCCCCAGACTCATCCCCGGGAGGCCCCTTCGGCCCAAGGCCAGCAGCGCAGGACCCTCAACGCTGGGACCCCTCCCCTGTCTCGTCCCCCCCCCAACCCGGATTTACGGACCCCCGAAGCTGCGCCCAAAAAGGGGGCGGGGGAGGGGGGAAAGGATTGGGTCAGCTCCAAGCCCCGCCCCCGAGAGGTCTCTCTGGCCATAGGCTAGCCCCGGCCCTCGGGGGGCAGCCGGGACCCCCGACCCTTGGACCCCTCCCCTCTCGTTAAGCCCCCCTCCTTCTCCCCTCTCCCCGGGAGGCCTCTCCGGCCCAAGGACCCCTAACGCCCTCCGCCCCCCCTCCCCCCCAATCGGGACTCACGGACCGGCAGAGGACGCGGGCTTGGTGGGCGGCGACCCCGGAGAGGGAGATGTTTCCGAGGGCGAAGACCTTCCCGCCGAGGAGCGTCCCGAAGTGAGGCCAGGCCTCCGGGCAGGAGAGCCACAAGTCGGCGCAGCACGAGCCCAGCCCCGCGCAGCCCCCGCCGCACCCGCACCCGCCCCCCGCGCCCCCCTCCCCGCAGCGCCCCGCGCACGAGGAGGAAGGCGGGGAGGGGGAGGACCCTGGGGGAGAGGGAAGGCGAAGGGTCAGGCGCGGGGCGAGGCAGGCAGACCCCTCCGCGGACCCCAGACCCAGCTCCCCTTCTTCCCCCCCCCTCCGGAAAGACCCCGAGGGCGCGCCGGGCTTCTCCACGAGAGAGAGAGAGAGAGCCGGGGGGGGGGGTAAGGGACGTGTGTCCCCAGGCGGGAGAGACCCTTCCCCTCGCCGCTCCCCTCGTGACCCCTCCTCACCTGTTCCCAGGAGAAGCAGGAGCAGGAGCGTGGGCCCAGGGGCCGCCATGCCGGACCTAAGGAGGGAGGGAGGGGGGGGGGGGGGGGGGGGCAAGGCAGGCCAAGTGCGGGGCGGACTCTGGACGCGGCGGCGGCGAAAGCGGCTCAAAGGTCCTTCCTCGCTTCCTCCCTCCCTTCCTTCCTTCCTTCCTTCCTTCCTTCCTTCCCTGGGAGGCTGTGGCGGAGGAAGAGCCGCGGCGGGGGCCTCTATCTTCCTCCCTCCCTCCCTCTCTTGCCCCTTGTCCTTCCCGGCCCACGGGAGGCGTGGAGCGGCCTCCGTCCCAAGGGAACAGTCCTTGCCCAGCCCGGCCCACGGGAGGGGGAGGGGGAGGACCAGGAGGAGCCGCTTCCCTTGGGGAAAGCGCTTCGCCGCCCGGGGGGGGGGTTGGGGGGGCTTCGGGGAGGGGGAGGGAAGGGCAGGCTGGGCACCCTTGGAGGGAGGGCTCGGCCAGAGGAAGGAAGGAAGGAAGGAAGGAAGGAAGGAAGGAAGGAAGGCCCCCCGGAGGAGGGAGGGAGGGAGGCAGGAGGGAGGGGCACCGCACGGGCTCAAGGAGTCGCCTCCAGCGGTTGGACCATCCCAGCCCCCACCCCCCTCAGGCCGAGGGGGAGGACGGGGGGGGGGGAGGAAGGGAGGAAGGAAGGAAGGGAAGGAAGGAAGGAAGGAAGGAAGGAAGGAAGGAAGGGAGGAAGGAAGGAAGGGAGGAAGGAAGGAAGGAAGGAAGGAAGGAAGGAAGGAAGGTAGGTCTTGGCTTGCGAAAGGAGGGAGAGGGAGGGCCGGTTGTTATAGGTTCTTGCCATGTTCGAGAAGCATTCTCTCCTGACCTTTCTCCTGCGTCTACGGCAAGCATCCTCACAACCTCTGTAGGCGAAACGTCAGGAAAGAATGCTTCTTCTAGGAGATGGGCAGACAGCCCGAAAATCCTACAACAACCCAGAACTTTATTGTTGTTGTTTATTCTGGATGGCCTGGTTGGATCTTCAGGCATGTAGCGGGGGGGGGGGGGTTGGGGGCTTCAGCCCCCCCACCTGAAATTCTGATGGTGGTCCGCGAGAAGGCCTTCCTGGTGCGTTATTTAAACTGCTATGTTTATTCATATCATGATCTGATCACCATACTCCATATATCCCATACGCATGATGGGGGTATTATTGGGGTAACGACACAAAAGGTTTGCTAGGCTAGACCTTCTTTCACCCAGACTGACCCCCCCCCCCCCGAATCAAACTCAGCTTCCCCCGAATCAAAATCCTGGCTACGGGCCTGGGTCCAAGGCACTTTCAGGACTTTCCTCCAACGCCACCCTTCCAAAGCGCCTCTCTCCCATCACTCCGCCTTCCTGTGCCGTCACACCCAGACGCCTTAACAATAAGACTGTGATGTGCTGCCCTCTTTGTCTGGGCAGACTGCTGGGATCTTTCTGTAAAAGCTCAAACTTTCTGAGTAACTGAGTCCACTTCAAGTAAGGAACAGCAAACGGAACATTTATTTCCAAAGTCTTTGTAGACTTGGCACAGCTTATCAAAGTTACAAACAATCAATTGGTAAAGCAGAGAGATGAGCTTTCATGCATTCAAGTATTGAGGTAACCTTTCTCCAAAAGGTGGAAGGAATTCTGGAGTCCCTTTACCCTAACCCTGAACTCCTATGGCTAGAAATAAGCAGGGTTTTCTCCCTGTCTACAGCTCAGAGTTAGCTTTGGAGGCAAATGCTCAATACTTTTTCAATAGCTTCTCTGTTAATCTAGCTGTCTATATAACTCTCAGTGTTACTCAGCATCTATCTATATGTCTCAATAAATCTTTCTATCTATAACTCCATTTCTCTTTCTATCTATAACTCCATTTAGTACTTGCAATGGTTTCCTCAGAGCTCCCCTGTTCTGGCCACCAGCACATCTGAATTCTTCTTTCCAACTAAACGGGGAGATTCTAAAATGGAGATCTTTCCCTGGGAGAAGGGGCGGGCTCTAAACTCAAAGAGCTTCTCTCTAAGCCAATCAGGCAGGCTTTCTAGCCTCTGAAACTGTGAACTTTCAGGGTTCTTGCAAAGCTGCAGCAGCCCTGCTGCCTGGGAGAAATGCAAGGGGAAGCAGCTTCAAGCAGCTGAAAGGGAAGGCAAAGCAGGCTCCTGGGAGACAGAACACTTCCTTCTGGTCCAGCTCTCACACCCATAGGTGACTACGGGGAAGAGCATGGCTTGGACTATGCGAGTCTTTGTTGCCGGTGGGATGCCTCCAAAGGGGAAGGTCCAAGGGTTCCCTCATCTGGGCAGAGGCCACAAGAGGGTGTGAGACAGAAGACACAGAGAGGACCTGGACCTGGGAAGGGAGCTCAAGGAGGACAGCCACCTCTCTCCCCTTGTTTGCCTCTTTCCTCTTTGCACTCTACATGGGGCTGCCCTTGCTGTTGATGCATTTTTACAAACAAAGTAGAGAGTGTTTGAGGACCAGGACATTCCTAAGAAACCAAAGTTTCTTCCAGCAAAAGGCAACCCCTCTCCAGTGCCAGCAATATTGACCATTTCCGCTCCCTTGGCAGCCACCTCTCCACCAAAGTCAACATTGACACTGAAATTCAACACCTCCTGAGCTCTGCAAGTGCAGCATTTTTCCGAATGAAGCAGAAAGTGTTTGAGGACTGGGACATCCGTAGGGATACCAAGGTGCTTGTTTATAAAGCTATTGTCCTCCCAACCCTGCTATATGCCTGTGAGACGTGGACTGTCTACAGACGTCACATGCAACTCCTGGAACGATTCCATCAGCGCTGCCTCCGGAAAATCCTGCAAATCTCTTGGGAAGACAAGCGGACAAATGTCAGCGTGCTGGAAGAAGCAAAGACCACCAGCATTGAAGCGATGGTCCTCCGCCATTAACTCTGCTGGACCGGCCACGTTGTCGGGATGCCTGACCACCATCTCCCAAAGCAGTTGCTCTACTCCGAACTCAAGAACGGAAAACCGAATGTTGGTGGGCAGGAAAAGAGATTTAAAGATGGGCTCAAAGCCAACCTTAAAAACTCTGGCATAGACACTGAGAACTGGGAAGCCCTGGCCCTTGACGCTCCAGCTGGAGGTCAGCTGTGACCAGCAGTGCTGCAGAATTTAAAGAGGCACGAATGGAGGGCGAAAGAGAGAAACGTGCCAAAAGGAAGGCGCGTCAAACCAACCCCGACTGGGACCGCCTTCCACCTGGAAACCGATGCCTTCACTGGGTTTTGTCGGGCTATATGGCCATGGTCTAGAGGCATTCTCTCCTGACGTTTTGCCTGCATCTATGGCAAGCATCCTCAGAGGTAGTGAGGTCTGTTGACTTCACTGTGGGAGAAGATGCAGGTCAAGAATAGGGCTCCACAGCCACCTATGGACCCGCCGTGGAGGATTATCCTACTTGGACATTGAGGGATCGCCTAAGTAAGTAAGTATGTTCGCAATAATACTTTTATTTACTATCTCGTTCATTTCATACCAAACTGAGCCACAGCGAAGCATAGCCGGGTTTAGCTAGTGAATAACAACAACAACAACAACAACAACACTTTATTTATAACTAATTCCATCTCCCCTGGGTGGCTACTCACCAAGGTTGCACAGGAACACCTCCTCTTGCTTCCCCCCCCCCCCCGAAATTCCCCATCATTTTGTCCAGGGAGGATCATCATCCCTTCACAATCCCCCTGGGAGTTTCACGATGGGCTTCAGAAGCGCAACCACGTTTCCCCAAGATACCATCAGGCCTTATCCCTGGGAAGACTTCCCCATCCCCTGAGCAGAGCCCCTCCCTGGGAACCCATTGGGACTGTGCAAACATTGTCCAGCCAACCGAAACCCATTGTGTCCTTGCAGGGGGGCCGGAATGGAGCTATTTGCCCTGATAGCACAGACCCTAACCGGCGCACATTCTTTCCGTTCCCACACCCATGAGAGGCAGATCAAGCAACAGCCACGACACTACAGAATGGAGCACTGTCAGTGTATTGCAATCCCTGCCAAACCTGAAAACCAATCAACGATAATGGCGGGTGGCACGTCTCAGCTTCCCAGCTGTGGATCCTTGTTGACCCTGAAAGGGTCTTTGAGTGAAATTTCCAAATGCTAAGCAAGGGGCTTTGAATGAAATTAACAGCAAAAGAAAAATAGGAGCAACACGGAAGAAAATGTTTTTAAAAAACAAGATGTGACATGTAGAGGTCATACAAAGTTCAAGCCTACATAGGAAGTAGTTGTGTTGTGGTTAAGTTCAAAGGTTGTGGTTAAGCGCAGAGTCTGCAGGTACCAGAAGGTACTTTCCATCAAATCGTCAAGGGAGAGGGGCTGGAAAGGGAGTACTTTCCATGACAAAAATGTTCTTGTTTACTTGAGTATAAAAGTCAGCAGAAACAGGAGGGGCACAGCAGTCACTTGAAGGGTAGCATCTGCGTATGCTGCCAGGCTGTCCGTCTTCTTCATGAAGAAACTAAAATAAACCTTGTATTGTCGAAGGCTTTCATGGCCGGAATCACTGGTTTGTTGTAGGATTTTTCGGGCTGTATGGCCATGGTCTAGAGGCATTCTCTCCTGACGTTTCACCTGCACTTTGGCAAGCATCCTCAGAACCTTGTTTTTTGATCTTTTTTGGGACCGTCTCCTTCCTTACGTGCTCCTGTGATGTGGCACTAAGAAGACCCAATTTAGGGTCTCTAACAACCTGAATCTGGATCCGAGGAGGCAAAGTCCTTGCTTCCAATTGCTGATAAAGTTCTATAAATACACCTGTAATTGCTTTCATGCCTTTGGAGCACAGACTGTGAATCAATGCCTCTGTTACTTTTGCTTCCAACCCATCCATGTCTGTTAGGTCTTTGGAGCACGGCACGCTCGGCCCCAGAAGTCATGCTCGGATGGAGCTGAAATTCCATCACAGCTGGATACAGAATTGGGTGCACCTCCTTTCCTCAAGGTTTGGGCTGCATGTAACTTCTGGTGGGGAAAAGGAAGGGGCCTGAGGCTGCGAGGAATGGTGGGAGTTGGAGTCCAAAACACAGGGAGGGAAGGCCCAAGTTGGCCAGTGCCTGGCTTAGACTTTGGTTGTGCCTATGCGGAGTTTGTTTCCAAAAGGCACCAAGGCCATCTGAACAAATTTTACAGGAATTCAAGTAAATACGCTGAGGATATGCATTTTTTTGCATTGGAACAGTTTGATAATTTTGATTTGCACATAAGATTCCCCATAAGATTCCCCACCAAGAATGGCATCCTTTGG